AAAAGGAATTTTATAGTCCCTGTGTTGGTTTCCGTGCGAAAATAGTGTTTAGTGGGATGCGTTAATCACAAATAAATATACGGTTTGGGTGCGGGTGTGTGACAAAGGCTTGCATACAATATTTTTCTGTGCTATGTTACTTGTGTACGTCTGTCTTCACCAATCACCTGACACGCTACGCTCCCTCTAAAATGGTCACGCCGGGGTGGAGAGTATCGCAGTGAACACTAACAGCTGATTTTAATGAGATTGAAATGTATACACTTTGTATCTTTAATACCAGAGACAACTTTTTTTCTGTGTTAGACTTGTTAAATATGAAATGCTGCTTTAGTGGCGGCGTGCAAAGAAGCAAATTATGGAAGTCAGAACATGAGCAACACGACGTGTGCGAATCATTTTGGATCACCTGCAATCACCCCCGGATTTTGGTGAGGTTTGTGTTGCTCAGTCTTTAATTTTTCTATCTTGTGTTTTGTGTACTGTTGTTTGTTTTTTCGTAGTTTTTCCTTTGTTTTGTCATGGCATTGTCAGTTTGTTTTCGACTTAAGTTTGAATATCCATTTGGTATCTTTCGCCTCTCTATGACAGGGTTGTAATCAATGTCGTTTATATATGACCAAATTACTGATATAATCAGATGTTTATTTCCCATATAAATTTTACCACAGATAAAAGGATAATATAAAAGGTAGGAATGAAATTTTAGGTATATCTATTAGTCAACAGGTACCAGAGGAGATTTTTTAAACATATAAAATCTCGTCTGGTACCTGTGGTTTAGACAAAGCCAGAGGAAGGTCAATATTTCTGTCAATTATTCGCTACCTCTTTATAAACTTAATTAGGCATATAATTTTTCTTTTTTTTTCTTTCCAACACAATACCAACCGTTAACATTGAGCGTTGCATGGTCAAATAGGGAAACTTGTGAAGAAAAAGCATGTAAACATATTTAAATTGTTTGTGTTTGTGATTATGGCATAACGATTGATAAACGGATGTTTATATTAGATTTTATTTACTTCACCATAATGATCATGTGTAGGTTTCATAAAGTAAAAATATAATCTTGTTTCAAAAATAATATAATCAAGAGTTAAACGTATATTATTGTTTACGAATTTAATTGATTATTTATCACGTCACCTATGCCTTTTAATCTACATCATTATTAACTAAATATATATATATGATTCTTGTCCTGGCTTATAACTTCCAGATAACAGGATGAAAACTTTGTTTATTGTCATCTGTATTTTCTGTGGGACTTTGGTAACATTAGTGTATGGAGAAACCACACCAGTTACCACCGGAGGCACTCATAATAGTGGTAAGTCAATGTATATCAAGTTGGTGGTGGATTTATTTTTGGGGAGTTAACTTGTACTTTTTCTTTTGTCCGACTTATTTATTTTTTTAAATGGAAATTTGTCTACTTTCCTCTAAGCTAAAACAGCTCAGAATAGCATTTTCGCCTGTGTAGTAACTATGAAGAGAAATTAAAATATTCCCAAGAACTGAAGGTTCACATATCAATTAACTCATATTAAAAATATTGAATAACCTCCTGGAAACCTCCATGATATTAGACATATTCGTCAATATGTATTATAAACTAGAGGTGTTGATTACCTTGTTCTATGTGCATTTTCATCAATATTCTCTCTCCTACAGACTTGAAAGTATTTCATGACGAATATATTTTTTCTCGATCATTTTCTCTCTTTCTTCTATAGCCCAAAATACAAAACATATGGGTAAAATAGTCTTTCAAGGACAATAACTTTTATAAGAAATGAACTTTCAGTTTCGGCTTTGTTGACCTGTTGTAGAAATTGTCTAGCTGATATATTTTTTTTCTGTACAGTTTCTCTTTATCTTCTTTTGTTGTTGTCCAAACCATAAAAAGTGTTAAAATCGTCATTTAAGGACAATAACTCATATAAGGAGTAAACTTATAATTTTGGCGGTGTTGAATCATTTGTAGATCATCTCTTGCTCATCATTTTTGCTATTTACGGTTTTCTTTATTTATTAAAGTTTTTGCAGAAGATGCTAAAATTGGATAAAAATAATCGTAAAATAATCATTAAGTAATTATTTCTATAAGAAGTCGACAGACAATTTCCGTCGTCTTGACAAATTCTGTTAATCATTTTCCTGGATGAGGTTAAAGTTTTTGGTGAAGGTAGTTTTTGATGATGTAGAAGTCACATCAACTTGAAACATCGTACACATGTTCCTAGTGATATTATTTTTCTAACATGTATGCTAAATTAAGGTTTTGATCCCAATAGCATGGTTCACTGAACCAGGGACTTTCTAAAGACTGTCTCTGACTGAACTTAGAAATGTGATATTGTAAAAAAAATACATTCTCATTTTGTTAAAGGTAGTTTATGATAAAGATGAAGTCACATCAACTTAAAACTAAGTACAAATGCTCATTATGATATGATCTGCCTAAATTGTATATCCAAATTTCATGGTTCGCTGATTATGGAAAATAATAGAGCGAGTGGGACATCTGTGTGATTTATTTTTGAAGAATTTAAGGAAAAATTGTCATCCCGACAAGCAAAAATCCGTTTACAGTTTTTTCTTTATCTACTATATTTTTAGCATGAAATGGCAAAATTGAGATAAATTGTCATTTGGGACAAACACTCTTAAAAAGGGGCGAACAGCGATTTCTGCCATTTGACAAATTTGAAGCTAATGTCCTGATGATCGTGTTTGGTATTTAATGTTTCTCTTTATCTGTTCTAGTTTTCAAGGTAATCAGCAAAATCGCAAGAAAATGGTAAACATAGTCATTAAGGCACAATAACTCCCAAAATTAGTCCAGCCACAATTTAAGCCATGTTGGCTTATTTGTAGATCTTGTCTTGCTGATCTTTACTGTTTACAGTATCTCTCCCTATCTATTATTGTTTTCAAGATAACAGACAAAATTTAAAAAAAAAAAGGAAATAGTAAAATTTGTCATTTGAGGGCAATAGCTTCTATAAGGAGAGGTCTGACAGTTTTGAACGGTAGGTAGATCTGAACATTTTGAATCCTCTTCCCCTTTCAGATTTTCAGATAATAAACACACCTATGTTTTATTTTAGCCATGTCGGTCATGTTGGTTGGTATGCACACATTAAAACTAGATACCCTTTTGATAATGGCCAAGTTTGGTTCCAATGGATCCAGCAGTTTCCAAGAGGGACGAAAGATACCAGAGGGACAGTCAAACTCATAGATCGAAAACAAACTGATAAGGCCATGGCCAAAAATAAAAGGAGACGATTTTTGTAAAAGTTAACGAAAGGACGCAGAGTGATGAGAATATCTCACTTGACCCTTTGGTTCAGCTTAGCTAAAAAGGGAGCACACTATTTCGAGTCCTGTTTCTTTCGTTTTTTACTATAAAAACTAACATTAAACCTTTAAAAAAACTTTGTTGAACAAGCCCGCCACTTCAAAGATGATAGCCAAATAAAAAATAATTAAGGAGATTAACAGGTAAAAACTACTGTCTTATAATTGTCCACATGCATTGAAAGCTACAAAGGCGTGTCTCATCCTTGATATGATAAGGCACCTTCTTATCCTATATATTTTTAACAATGCCATTAGAAATAAAAATTGTCATAATCAAAATTGGGGAACAGTAAGAAACAATATTATTTTGGAGTTCCTAAAAATAAAGTTTGTGACTATTGAACTGCAATTAGCAATGACAGCAATAAGGAGTCATTTTTTAAGCACAGTATCCTATATATTGCAAATCATCATCAGCCCAGTAGTTTGATGTTTTGTGTTGAACTACCATTGATATGGTCACAATTAACAGCGTGCAATTAAATGATTACTAAACCTTAAGGAATAAGTTCGGTAAGGGTCATATTTGGCCCCGATTATAAAGTTCAACGTAACAAGATAAAAAATGTTTTAAGTTGACTTAAAGACATGTGAGAAAGTAAAATAGAACTATTAGTGTCAAAGTTTTATTCTAAAGCGTTGATTTTTACATCCCAAATAGGTCAAAAAAAGAGATTTTGGCGAAATTTGACAAAATCGGACTGCTTTCAACCAAATTTAGGACCAGGAAACATAGAGCGCAGGCGCCGACAAACTAGATATTCAAGTTATACATGTAAAATGTCTTTAGAAACATTATTTTAAAAGATCTTTTTTGTCGACGCATGGGCTCTATGTTTCCTGTCCAATAATCAATGGAAATTAACCCTTTTTCATTGATTTTGTTGTGGAAAATCAAAATGAGTACTATTTGTGACGTCATGAATAAAACGTAGGTACGTAAATTTTAAACAAAATGCTTATTTCCTATCTAGTCACTGTATTAGCTTTGATTCATTGTGATATTGGTCAATAAATCCTAATTTGAAATTTAAGCTAAAAAAAAGGGGGCCATTTTAGGGCCTTATCGAACCTCTTCGAAACATTAAGGATTTTCTAAACCAGTCATGAATAGATGACCAAAGATGTATTTGGTAAAACCTTTCGAAAATTTGAGAATTTTAATGCCCTTCAACTTCTAACTTTATTTGGCCTTTTTAACTTCTTTGTTTTCATCGTCACTGATGAGTCTTTTGTAGACGAATCTAGAGTCTGGCGTACGAATTTTAATCCTGGTATATATCTATGATTTGACCTCGTTGTGTAGATAGCATTAGTGTCTTGTGTTATTGTTAGGTAAATACAGAATACTGGCAGATGTCAATTTATCATTATGTCCTTTTCTTTACAGACTGCTTGTTGCTAACCAAACCAGGGCCTTGTAGGGGATATTACCCACGATATTCTTTTCGATCAGGAACGTGTAAGGTGTTCATTTATGGCGGCTGTGCTGGGAATGCCAACAATTTCCTCGACATTGATGAATGCCTAAAAGCGTGTTTGCCAGCCTAATAACCATTTAGAGCTGCTAGGAAAATCGACCACGTCAATATAATTAATTTTGCATTTAAAGAGTAAAAATACGAAAAAAAACCTCAAGATTCTTTAATGCCCTGACAAAACCAACAAAACAATTTGCTTAAAAAAAAATAGATGGGAAAATTTTATTTATGAAAATATTAACAATAAAAAAAAATCTGATGAATAAAATTTTGGAAATTTGCATACATTTTAAATGTAATCAGTTTACAAGTAGCACTGTCCTGGTTATAATGGTTATGCCTTTTTTTATTTCATACAACTATACTTGTGTAACAGGCTCATAATACAGTCAGCAAACTATATATGTATAGAGAACACTTCACTGTTTGTTATAAAAAACACAAAAATGGAAAGTTAATTTATTGCATGTTAGCTATAATTCATCATGTTTATTTCTGCCTATGTAAACATGAGCTACATTGTACCAGCAACAAATCGTGTACCCTATGTGTAAAAACAATTGCAATCGCATAAAATTAAGCAACATCATATATCTGTTGTTCTCCTTTATGATTAACTCCTTTTAATCTCAGGAAAATATATCTTTCCTCTACTACAAGATTGAGTTTGAGACCGTCTGCTCCAGTATAAAGTCGAGTCATCATTAAGGCATTCGATAAGTTTAAACTGTTTGTCCATACATATCCTTATTTCTGCCAGTAAGTAAGTTTGTCTTTTACCTAACTGAAATTTGAAACAAACGCATTTATTAATGTACACTGTGAAAACACAATTAAAATATGTATGAATATCACATATTGATTGATATAAACATGAAACGTTACGCTTTAGTTGGTGAATCATCCATTTTCAATAGTACCATATGATATGTTTCCATAAAATTACTTACCATTTAGGGACCTACAAGTAAACAAAATACTGAAATCTTTATTTAAGATTAATTATTACATTACCTTATATCTGTAACATTGTAAATTTGGCACTACTCCAAGTTTCTTTTGAAGAACACTTTCTATTGTTTTAGTCTGTAAAAAATGAAAATAACAGAAAAAGGATAAAACATAAATGAATGTAACATTTGTGGAATCATTTCATGATAGGTAAGCTTTAACCAGACGGCAAATTTTGATATCCATTTCTGGGACTATGATTACGATTGATTGACAAACTAATGAAACTGTTTTTTTTATTTTGTTTTTTTTTTCTTCAGTTGCTCGAATTCCATGTAGGAACCCATTCAGGCGAGTTACATGAACAGTGCTTCTTTAAACAGACCCAGGGTAAAAGCTAATGTGACCCATTCCCTCTCGCTGAAAGTACTGAGGTTCTCTACCGTGGCCCGTTGTATATCATTTATTGTCATGCATTATTTCCATAAAACAATTTCCTTTCGGTGACAGTCTATATATATGATCACGTTCCACTGTGTACAAAACGCTTCGTGAAATAAAGATATTCTCTTTTTAATCCCGGAACTTGACAGTTACCAAAGAGACAGTACTATATGATGCTATAACGTTTTGTGTGTTTGAGCTTTGGATTTTGCCATTTGTAAAGGATCGTGGAGTTCGGTATTTTATTTTATACTTTACTCGACTTGCAACTAAAAATTGACAATTGGAGTCGGTAAGAATTGTACAATGCTAGTAAAAAGATAAGTTCAATTCGTGTTGTAAACCTTTCAAGTCGGGTTTCAAAATTCTAGCAGCAATATATCTCTCAAGTGATATACAACCTTGTGATTCCTATTTAAAGATTGATGATTATCCTATAACATTAAAATGCAGCTGTTTCAATAAACCAGATAGTCATTTCAATAAGTAATGGGTTTTTTTCTGCGATGCTCGGGGATCAAATATCCGTAGATCCAAAACCAAATACAAAACTTTCAGGAGCTGATATACTTGTTAACCGGAAAAAACAAAATAAAACGTAAAACAATCCAGAAAAGGAATCAGAGTAATGCATGAATGAGATACAGCCTTTCACATGAATTCCTGTGTTTTGTCACTTCAAATTTTATTAAAAGCAATCATGTCCTTACCAAAGCAGTGGGGTTCTGGGTTAGTGATATTCTCGAGCACTAAGGACTAACCAGCAGAAATGTCGATCTATTGTCAAAAAACAGAATATATCGCACCAATTTGAATTTATACGATGGGCAGTTCAATAAATGATGTTCCAAGTTCAAAATAATCATCAATCCAGAATAATGGAAAGATGCGTCTTTGTGTTATTTTCACATCGTATAAGAACAAATATGATACTTACAACGTAAGGTGTTGTGTCATTTGGAGTAATATTCATTTTACTCAGAAACCTATAATGAAATGAATATTTGCACATCAATTATATGTCATTTTTTTTCTCTCCTAATACTCGTTGTATTTACACTTTTTTTTATTTGATGCATGATGAAAGAAAGTGTTCGAATTTTATAAATAATAATTATCGTTTATGCTTGAATTATACAATGTTTGGTCATTCTAAGGCGCTGCTGGTGACTATCAAACTATTAAACAAAACTTGAAACAAATAACGATAACACTACTCAATATTTGATCATATTGTACGTAGCATTTTTATCCAACGCTAGTTCGACATTTTTTGTTCAAAGCGGTATTTTAAATTAATGTGTTTTTCCCCGATTAAATATGAAAAAAGAAGATGTAGTATGAGTGCCAATGAAACAACTCTCCACAATAGACCAAATGACACAGAAATTAACAGCTCTTGGTCACCGTACGGTCTTCAACAATAAGCAAAGCCAATACCGCATAGTCAGCTATAAAAGGCCGCGAAATCACAAATGTAAAACAATTCAAACGAGAAAACTAACGACCTATTCAATGTACAAAAAAAAATGAACGAAAACAAATATGTAACACAGCAACAAACGACAACCACTGAATGACCTGCTCCTGACTTGGGACAGGCACATACATACAAAATGTGGCGAGGTTAAGTATGTTACCGAGGGCTGTATAGCCAGTCAAGGTCCTGAAAAACTCCCATCATCATCATGTTAGCGGGATCCCAACCCTCCACCTAACCTGGGACAGTGGTGTGACAGTACAACATAAGAACGAACGATAACAATCAGTTGAAAAAGGCTTAACTCATCAGATGGATAAAAATAGAAATACATATAATAAAAACATAGAGTGGACGTGGCCGGGTACATCCCAACAACAAAAAGACACTAAGTACAGATCTGAGAGTATTCGCAGTTACTGACAGCTGGTTTAAAACCACATTTTTTAACGTTCGAATTGATCAATTGTATTGAAACATGTCTTCGTCTTAGATATGCATGACATATTCGCCACTTCACGTTTAACAACCAAAAGATTTTTATCAATCTACCTTAAAGTACATTTTTTATAATGACATAATAATGTTCTTTGTATTGTGATTTTTTTCAAACGTACTTTAAGTTCCATAAAATACTACCAATCATATCTTTATAGGGGTCTGTCACATCGAAATGTTGGAAATAGCAGCGATGATTTTCCTCGATCCTATCTTGTTCCATTTTTATTTTCATCGTCTAACATCGTAAACATTTTCTGTGTTGGATTTCATAATACTCATTTTAAAACTTACCTTGAAGCATTGTATATTTTCATTAAGTCGAGTGTTTTCCTAAAGAACAAATATTCTGTTCCAGTTGTGTTCAGGCTTAAGGCACATGTTCCATGCGTGTTCCATTCATGTTTCCTGTATTCGTACAAAGTTTAATGTTGTGTATATATAAAAGTTATGTTGAATGTTGTCTTTGTCTAAATAATAAATGGTTCAAACATTTTTCAAGTATTTCAAAAGCAAAGAATGGCACACCTGATATCAAAAGTTCAGCATAATGATTCATTAAGATACTGTCGTCTACAAGTGTCTTCATAGAGAGAAACCAAAAGATAAACCGACAATGTGTGAGGTTAGGGTTTTTTTGCTCCGTTTTGTAGGCCTCACTCTGACTTTGATATGAAGAATAGCAATTTGAGCGCTTTTCCTTTGTTTTTTGTGTGTTTTTGCTTTGCATGTACTGACTTTGTGTCATGGATGGATGAATACCCAATATCCTTCGTTTTTTCTATTAATAGAACAAAACAAAATCACAATAGGATAACTGTGTTAAGGTAATAAAACACACACAAATTCACAGATTTTGAAACTAGGCAATGGTAGATCCGTACTGGTTCCTACTTTATGATCTGAACTATGGCAATTGAACTGGTAATTTATTCCAATTCTAACTAACTCTTTTGAGGAGCACAACTTTTAGCGTTTATCTGAATATGAGTAAACTTTGTGAGTGATTATATATTCCGTACTAGGAAATACACCGCCATGAAACGTCATGTGCCAGAAATAGTACGGTAACAACTGTTACTATTGTATCAAGTAGGATGATGGAAGATCAAGAGGTATCTAAAAATGTTAGAAATTGTAGTCAAAGTGATAAAAGTTATTCAGTGGTTATATACCAATGGTAATAATAATGATAATATCTTACCAGAAATCATTAGGAGCAGTATTGCTGTAAATGTTTGGCCAAGCATGCTGTAATTCATTTGTAAGATTCTGGAAATTTGATGAAATAATATAAAGAAGTGAATTTTCTCCTAGAAAAACTCTATAAAGGTATTCCTGTTGACACTAATGGACACTAATCGTGCCCCTTTAATTGCAGAATTCTCACTATATTTTTACGAAACGCAGTTAAATCCGTCTTGTTTTCATTAAATGGAAAAAGTTCATAAAATTTACCGTAACCATGATAATATTTTTGCCTTGAATAATAAAAACAAATCTGCTTGAACTACAGAAAAATAACCTATGAAACTGACTACAATTAAATCTAAGATAAACAGCAAAACACGTCCCTTTTTATTTGCAACAATGAATGAAGACAATAAACACCGATAGCCTGTACATCATCGGTTCTTGGTTTGGAACAAGTACATCATTTCACAATCCTCTCTTTATTCACAAAAAAAGTGGTGGAGGTTTGTAATGTGAGCTGTGAGCGCAAAACCTTCCTCTCATGTAACAACACAACAAAAGAAATAAATGTAGATATCAGTTGGCAAGGGTTAACTGGATTATCCGGTCTGTACAAAGCACGAAATAATATATTTGTCTAAATATACTGTGCTTTGATTACACAATTTGATTTTAAATTACTGGTTGCGTGGTTTTCAGATATTTTAGTATTTTTAGACCAACATAAAATTATTTTTAGTAATCAAAACCAATTTACAGGTGGCAAATGCATTGAAATTGCATTAGTTTAATGTAGATTAACACATGACTCCTCATTTACAGGAGTTAATGGACGTGGAATTAAAGTTATCATTACCTTTATCTTGTTCATATCAAAATGAACTGATGAACAATTCTTTGGACCTTCCGTTTTTCCCGAAGAAGGCCTGAAATTGTAAAAATTATATAAATTCATCATACCTTTAGTGATTAATTGATTGGTGATTGTTTATTGGTTGCTTAAACATTTGAGAAAGTAGAAGACCTGGATATTTCATCCCTCGTTTAAAAAATGTCTGATGGTCTGTTTTTGTCTGTCCATTTCCTTTACCTCATTTTTATGCTTCAGCGACTACCTGTTGTTTTCATTTTGTATCGCATGTTTTTTTTTCTCACTTATCAACCCAAGTTGACAAAACAAGTGGCAATAGGGTAGCGGTGTTTAGTTAGAACTATTGTTATGTACAAATGTTCGTCAGCCAGGGAGCAACTGATCTTGACTTCATTTCAGCATAGTTCAGCTGACAAGGTTAAGTTTACGTGATGAAGTCCGACAATCATGATTAATAAATCTTTATAAATTTCGTGCTTTCGAAGCGTTTTTCTGGATTCCCTTCATCATACAGGAATGCTCAAACCTAAACATTCGAAAGGAACTAAAAAATCGTATAAACTAATAGAGCTATAGGAACAAACGGATCCTAAAGAGATAGCAAAATTCATCAACAACCAACTTTAACCCGAGTGAGCTGGAACCTTGGTTTCCAAATAGTTTGTTAATTTATCAACGGGGGATTTCGAAATGTAAGTTTATTTGGTGTAATATAAAGAAATTTCAGCACAGACGCTTGCCCTCTTTAAAGGAAAATCCTTGGTCCTCAGTGTGCTTTTCATCAGATGCGGATCTACGATTTTGAAGAAGAGGAGGGCAACAAGGCAACAAAATAATACATTTCCAATGAAACTAAGGCATATATTATCCTCATGAACAAATTTTGCAATGGATACCCTTCTTTTTTAGTACAAAAGCTGTAAGCTTAAGTTTAACGAGGATACAATCTGGATGAAATAGAAATCTACATGGCTTATGATATCTGTCAAAATGTCAAGGGCTTTTCCATTCTTTCAATCATACGTCAAAAGTTTTAATATTTTCATTACTAGTATTATTTTTTTCTCTGTCCTGCATTTATTTGTACTGTATTCCTGTCACGTAATGTTGTCATTTAAGCAGTATTTTTAACATTGCATATAAGCGGGAGGTTTGGCTAGCCATAAAACCAGGTTCAACCCACCATTTTTTTTAAATGTCCTGTACGAAGTCGGGAATATGGCAGTTGTTATCTAATAGTTCATTTCTATGTATGTTGCATTTGCATCTGTTTTTGTAGCACCTCAGTGTTTCTGTTATTCCGCTGTTTTCCTCTTATAGTTGATGTGGTTCCCTCGGTTTTAGTTTGTAACCCGGATTTGTATTTTCTCAATCGAGTTATGACTTTTGAACAGCGGTTTACTACTGTTGCCTTTATTTATACACATAGAAAAAAATCATACCATGATGTGTCTAAGAACGCCAACAAATGTATTTCTATAATGCATGGCGGTTCTAAAGATTTTGCGTAAATTTATCACGCTGATAATATTATCCTAATTGGCATCTATTAAATGTTTTGCTTACCATAGTCCGTGAATTATGAACGAATTGATGTAATTGGGAATGTTACATTTTTTGTGCTGTAAAGAAAAAAATGTAATTGATTGCATGATTATGTTTGAGCTATTGAGAGTATTTTACATAACTTACATTCATGCTACAAAAAAAAACTCATTTGTTGCTTGCAAACCTCTAAATCATCTTCTCGCCGCTATATAGCCTTTTTGTGCTGATGCGGCGTAAAGCAATTACCAATCTATCTAAATCATCTTGATGAGTAAAAACATATGGCGGGTGAGTTCACATTGAAAAATCTATTGAGAATTTCATCAAACGGCAATTCATCTGTTATGGCAGGAGTTCATATTGGTGGTATTTTATTGAGAGGTGCCGAACCTCTAAACTATACGATGAAAAAGTATGAACTAACCTTGAAATGTTGAATCAGAAAATATTGGAGTAACTATTGACATGAATCTATCGTTTGCTAATCACATTCAAAATCAAGTTAATAAATCAGATTGTATGCAGCACTTGCCGTTCCTTTGTTCACCTAGACAATCGCACATTTACTTTACTATCCAAGGCACTTGTAAAACCGAATTTGGAGTATGCAAACAGTGTATGTTCACCCTACAGGTAGGCTGACATCACTAGTATTGAAAATGTGCAAAAGAGAGCGACAAAAATGTTGTCTACAATGAGAAACTTGTCATATGAAGATCGTCTGAGCTTCCAAACTCTCCATTTCCGCCGTTTGAGAGGTCACATGACAGACTTCTACAAGCTATTGACAGATATATATATATATATGATTAGAGAGTAGCAAGTGATTTATTAGAGATGCATAACACAAACAAATCAACAAAAATGCATTCAATGAGACTGAAGAAACAACGAAGTCGCCTATATTTGAGGAAATATTTTTTTCACAAATTGAGTTGTTGACATATGAACAGCCTCACTGAAAAAGGTTATTTCATCTAAAACTTTAAACACAGTTAAAAATAAAATAGATAAATTTTGGGCCAACCAAACGTTAATATATGATTTCGAGGCAGATTATGAAATTTTATCTGGAAGTGAGAAACGTACAATTAAAAACAACGACAACTGAGTAGAGCAGAATATAATAGTACAACAGTGCCAGCGTTTTGAAGATATCCATAGGTAGGCACAGGTCTAAATACTACGCTTTGCTATATAAACCCCCACATCTATCTAAAATCTCTCCAATCAAAAATCACATGGAAATTACAGACAAGCATGAGCTGCAGACATGTACTCCATCACATCGCTGGCACCGAATTAAATAAATATTACTTGTTCTTTGATTATCTTGAATTTGTATGACAAGTTGATCACTGCTCATATATATGTTGCCATGTATGTTAAATACCATTGCTTTAAATGACAAATGACCTAACGTCAGGAAAAGGCGAAATTATACCACCCAAAATTCGTTAGCTTAACTCTAAAAATGTGTTGCTAACATTGTAAATACAATACGACATGTTAATGAGCTGGATAATTCAGTTTCTTCATTACTTTTGTAAAATAATTCAGTTTCTTCATTACTTCTGTAAAATTGACTCACAGTAGATATTATTGATGAAGAGACCATAAGAGTATACAAGATACAGAATATTTTGAGCCTTTGATAATGTGCTAGGTTTACTTCCAGTGATGGTTGTTTCCTTAAATACAATGAAATGGTATGTGAAATATTCACTTTAGTACTGGACAGGATAAAACTTAACTTGTGCCATATATGTAAAAAGTAAAATCACAAAAATACTGAACTCCGAGGAAAATTAAAAACGAAAAGTCCCTTATCAAATGACAAAATCAAAAGCTGAAACACATCAAACGACTGTCATATTCCTGACTTGGTACAGGAATTTTCTTAAGTAGAAATTGGTGGATTAAACCTGGTTTTATAGCTAGCTAAACCTCTCACTTGTATGACAGTCGCATAAAATTCCATTATATTGACAACGATGTGCGAACAAAACAAACAGACATAATAGGTAAAAATGTCAAAAATAGGGGTACAGCAGTCAACATTGTGTTATTATCTTAATCACTATAAAAACAAACATTGGCACAATAACACAATGACGGGATGTATAAGTACAGAGCCACGTCATATGTATCAAAGAAACACAAAAAGGCATATAGACAAAGAATATTAGCAAAAATGAAATATAACAATACAAAAATTATCATAGAACAATAACACAATGACGGAATGTATAAGTACAGAGCCACGTCATATATAAAAAAGAAACACAAAAAGGCATATAGACAAAGCATATTAGCAAAAATGAAGACAAGAATACAAAAATTATCATAAAACAATAACACAATGACGGGATCTATAAGTACAGAGCCATATCATATGTAAAAAAGAAACACAAAAAGGCATATATGAAAAGGAAGCTGATGTTCAGTAGTTGTCGTTTGTTGATGTGGTTCATAAGTGTTTCTCGTTTCTCGTTTTTTATATAGATTAGACCGTTGGTTTTCCCGTTTGAATGGTTTTACACTAGTAATTTTTGGGGCCCTTTATATCTTGCTGTTCGGTGCGAGCCAAGGCTCCGTGTTGAAGACCGTACTTTGACCTATAATGGTTTACTTTTATAAATTTTGACTTGGATGGAGAGTTGTCTCATTGGCACATCTTCTTATATCTATATATAGACAAAGCATATTAGCAAAAATGAAAGACAAGAATACAAAAATTATCATAGAACACAATGACGGGATGCATAAGTACAGAGCCACGTAAAATGGATACCACCAAAAACAGACTAAACAGTAAAAGTAATACTTGAGCCTTTGATAATTTGTAAGACTTAGTTTGAAAGTTTGTAAGTTTGAGCCTTTGATAATTTGCTAGGTTTACTTCCAGTGATGGTTGTTTCCTTAAATGCAATGCAATGGTTTGTGAAATGTTTACTGTAGTACTGGACAGGATAAAACTTAACTCGTGCCAAGTATTTTTTTAAAAAAGTGAACAAATGCAAATTTAACAGAGCCTGATAATGGAAAACAATGGTGGTGCTAACCTGAAGAATAATTTGAAGATGTTGTTCATATTTCGTGACTTTATTAGAATCGGTATTTTACATTACAATTTTCACTATCAATTTTTGTAATCTTCAAATGTACGGTAAGTATGAATACTTAGTCTAATAGATAAACGAGTACTGATATTGCAGAGTTATTTATGGTTTGGACAGCTTAATCAATGTGATGCAGCTATTTTTTTCTCGTTCGGGAATAAAAGTACACTTCACAAGATTGAGAAGTTTTTCCAGTTGAATGAGGAAGACAACCTGGAATGACAATAGCGTTACCTTTTAGGTATCGTTATATCCGATAGGAGTAGGTTTGGGTATTTAAAAAGTGATTATCTTGTACTATACTGAGTCCGGCTCAAGATTTTGCATCATTTTGCGTCAATCAGGTGTCGTGAACTTTTATACCCAAAAATTTCGGGGCCAGTTGAAAACAAATTTGACCAAAATATTCATTGGGTATCTCGTTTCAAAATTGAAGATTTTTATAAATTTTCTCGTCAGGTATACCCTCTCTTTTATTTTATGTGTTATTAATATTTCAATCATATCACCTTAATTCTATTTGTGTAATGTCATACCAACACAATCTTACATTTGAAGTAGTTTTTATTTGCCGCCTCTTTCCTCTCATTTTCCAAGATCACATTTATAATTATTGAAATAAGCTGAAATCAGACGATTTTTTTTTATCTGAGATATTTATTCCGCAGATGCCATAGAAAATAATAAAAGAGATTATATGGCCTAAGCGTGTGTGGTTTTCATTCCCTAATCTTAAGAGTGGTTTTTAGCCCATGCAGTCAGAACTTGGGCCTTTGCATGACTACAAAAACTCTCCATCTTTTATCTTTTATTCCCCTGTTTAATGGATAGCTCTTACATACAGTTTGAGTCATATTTGGCTTTATTTACATATGAAATAAATACCTCTGCCTTGCCCATCAGGCAAGCTGTTTGTGGCCATTCTTGTGTGAATGTGAAGTGGTCCCATTTAGCACTGAAAGCCCTAAAGTGAATATGCAAGACAAAATTAAAGAATGTAAAATACTGATATACGTGAGACTCATGTCTTGTGAACATCTTGTCGCTGTTATTTGATAGAATAATAATACTTTTTTATTTTCATATTCAAGGATACATTAGAAGTCGCCTATTCGAACCTGTTATTTAAATAATTTCATATTATTACCTTATCTATACTATACTAAGTAACATTATTTTGCGTTGGCATACTACTACTTGATTTTGTCCAATCTCATTCTTCTCCGCCTCTCATAATCAGCTAAGATAAACTTAGTGCATTGAGGGATTTTGACTTGGTTTGATTTAGCCTTAGGTATAAAGAAAATACCCTTCTCACCTGTTATATTACTTTAAAGCAGGCAAGCAGGGAGGCAGATTGAGAAGCAAACAAATAGCAATGCAAGTTCGCCATTTATTCACCTATGTAAGTGGGTGGAGAGGATCACAAACTCAAAACTGTTTATATAATTATAATAAATAGTTGTTCATGAACTATTTTGACTATATTGAAAAATTGTCAACTAAAAGGAACATAATACTTTGTGACATCAAAAAGTCAAAAAATGGAGCCCTTGGATTAAATGATTAATATTTATGCGTTTCTACGTAATGTACAGATAGTAATTTCATAACTTACCCAGCTGTTGATGGCAACAGAAAAATAGCTGTAACGAAGATGACATTCATCTCACCATCTACAATATGGTAAAAAAAATCGTGTTAAAATGTAGATTTTTTGCAAAGAAATATTATGTTAGTTTGATGTCCCCCTTTAAAATCATGTTTATTAAGGATTGCGGAAATCACTGCACATTGATCAAATAATTTTGCATCGCAATTCAGTCGTGCGTATCCAAAACTGTCGTAATAATAAATACAAGGAAATCGTCGCTTGGTTTGATATTGCCTAGACTATAAAATAGTCAAGTGATTTCAGACATACACATGATCCTTCCGTCATGGTATATTTGGTGGCAACCATATTGTGGACGACAGAGGACCAATTCATACGAAACGAACAACGTTTACCCAAAAATTAAAATAATCTCTTTTGAATCAAATATATTAGTTTCAAAGGATATGATATACATGTCTATACTGACAGCAACCTCTCGGGTCCCAATTCCGTCATTTTATACTTATATGTTCATCACTTAGTAGATGTAGTTTTTTTCTCTGTTGTTTAGTCCTAAAATGCTGTCAACAATCGAAAAGAAACAATATTTACTCCTTTCTTCTAAACTTTTTGTTTGTTTTGTTGATAATGAAGCTATAAGATACTGAGACATTGGTCGACATTGACATGAAGTAATGTATCTACTTACCCATGTTACCTGCTAATAAAGACTTCTATGTTAGGATGTTAACAAAATTGTCGCCAAACAAATAATCATGTGATGAAGCACTTCCTCGTATGTAGTTTCCGTATAGATCTATGACAAGGAAAGGTTTAAATTCTAAATATAAATTTCATTTAAAATACATCTTATAAACATTTACCTTTGAACAGATATCGACCCAAATATAATATACAATCTTGTTGACTGCAGCTATATTTTGAATTGATAAAACAGTAACAATGCGGATTGGTGCGAACTTGAACTGCTAATTCTTTCCAACTATTATTGACAAAAATTATCAAGAACTTGTTGTTTTTTTTTTCATAATCAAAACTTAAAGAAAAGTTGAAAGTAATTCAAGTCAAACTTTGTTTCATTTAAAAGAATAGCCATTTTACTTGAGAAATCATACAAATCAACGCTCTGGTTCTAGCAAAAACGTTCCCTGAAACTGACACCAGCAGAATGTTAGATTTTTGTCATTTCGATTTTTAGTTTTGCTTGTGATGGACTTTCTTCTCAACTGAGACATATAAAAAAGAAGATGTGGTATAATTGCCAATGAGACAACTCTCCACAAGAGACCAAATGACACAGAAATTAACAACTATATGTCACCGTACGGCCTTCAACAATGAGCAAAGCCCATACCGCACAGTCAGCTATAAAAGGCCCCGAAATGACAATGTAAAACAATTCAAACGAGATTAACTAACGGCCTAATTTATGTACAAAAAATGAACTAAAAAACAAATATGTAACACATACAGTCGGCATTCCTAATGGAGCAAAATGTCTTTCAGTTTTCATCTACTTGTTCCTTTTACGTATGAGCATTAGAAGCATTTTACGTTCATTCTTAGGGGATGTCTTCTCATTAAATATTTCAAAGTTAAGTGATTGTGTTAATCATATCTATCCCAATGAACTTGGAACTTAAAGATACCACAGATATCGCTTAATATTCTTGTCTTTCACTTTTGCTAATGTGCTTTGTCTATATGCCGTTTTGTTTTTCTTTGTTACATATTTGTTTGTTGTTATAGTGATTAAGATTATAACACAATGTTGACTTCTATACCCCTAATTTTGACATTTTACCTATTATGTCTGTTTTTTTTTGTTCACACATTGTTGTCAATATAATGGAATTTCATTGGACTGTCATACAAGTGAGAGGTTTAGCTAGCTATTAAAACCAGGTTTAATACACAAAATTTCTGCGTAAGAAAATGCATGTACCAAGTCAGGAATATAACCGCTGTTATCCATTCGTTTGATGTGTTTGAGCTTTTGATTTTGCCATTTGATTATGGACTTCCCGTTTTGAATTTTCCTCGGAGTTCGGTATTTTTGTTATTTTACTTTTTTTCATATTGACTTACATTTAGAAATTGACAGTGAGGACCTGTTGAGAACAAAACTTCAAAATAAGAGATAACCAGTTTTTCCAATTTGAAGTTCTATTTTATGCAACGTTCCAGCATATGGAATAGTTTTTTTCATCTATTCCAGGTTTAGCATCTCCCACGATGTCCTTGACAGACGATTGTTGCTTACAAGAAAGCAATTTACCATGATGAACCTTGATGGTAAATATCAAGTCCTTCCTTCCATTGTTATTATGGACACTATTTTCGTTAAATGAGTCACAGATGATCACAGAGCACCTAATTTCTCCTGACAAAAAAAGTCAATGTTTTTCCCCAATGTTCGTGCTAATTTTGTTTTGATCTGGTCTATCTTTTGTCCTAAAAACTGTCATTTCAAACTTTCACATTCGATCATAAAGGAGGGTCAAACATTTTTCATGTATCAATGGTTAATACATTAAGTAATATCCTGGGGAATTGTGAAGCATGTAATTGCCAATCTGCTACTGTATAAAGCCAGATCAATGGAAATAGTTATCCGATTTTTTAAACTGGTGTACCATGAAAGTTCTCATTAATGGAGCAGGTCATCAGCAGATTTTTTAAAAGGAGCAACATGATGGGCGTTACATGTGAAGCAGAAACTGGTAAAGCTTTGGAAGCACCTACATGCACCTCTGTTTGTTAGACTCTTGTAGCTTAATATATTGTTCTTGTGTATTATTTTGAGGACTTTTTCTTATTTATTGTGTTTCTCTTCAACTTACATTTTTGTATTGACTCCTTGCAATACACATTTTTAGGGCAATTTAAAATGAGGCACACCATTTCAGTGTGAAATGCCAATTTCTTCATTAATCTTCATCAAGCATGCTAAGGGACAAAAGTTCTGATAATTAACGATTTATAAATATTATATAAAGTTGGATATTTGTGTAAGGGATATATTTTCAATAATATCTGTATGAAAATAAAATTGAAAATATATCCCCTTTCTTATTCAAAACTATAATGACGTCTGTGAAGGCTACTAGAATTAGTCTGTTTGTTTTGATGACTTCATGTGTCGATGAGGCTGTCAATGAGGGATTTATAAAAAATTGTAAAACAATACTCTCAGTAGACATCAGGATCATCTTGCCCAAGTTAATTGGAACTTTAAGATCAGAAACAGATACACGAAAAAATGCAAACAAATTAGACCTCACAATCTGGTTTCGTCATAGAAATCACAGGACCAAATATTCTCCATGGAAATGAGATGTGCTAATGCTTATACAACTGCATACCAATTATCATTGACCTACCACTAACGGTTCCCCTTGAACTGACCTAATCACAAACTAAAACATGAAAACGAAGCAAAAGTTTCAAAGTCAATAGACCATGAATGAGGAGGGCGGGGCCAAATAATGTCCATGAAAATGAGATGTGCCAATGCTTATACAACTGCATACCAAATATCATTGACCTACCACTAGAGGTTCCCCATAAACTGACCTAATCACAAACTAATACATGTAAACAAAGCAAAGTTTCAAAGTCAATAGACCTTGACTGAGGGGGCGGGGCCAAAATTGGTTTGTGACCTTTAGATATAAACATAAGTAGTTTGCTGTTTGTTTTTGATTGCGACTGACTCACTGACATTTATCTCATTTTTTCTGCCTTTTATTGCCTTTAAAAGATCCATCAAAATATCATGCAGATGATTCCCCATGTAGTCTGATTGAAAGATTGTTTTTTACCTAAAATCCAGTGGCAAATATTTCATGCACATTCAAGATGATCCAGATAGTTTAACCAGCATTGCAAAGGACATTATATCAGTTGGTAAGACAGACAACACAATTAGCCTAAATTTTATTATAACTTATCAATGGCATAGGAAAGAGAGACTTTTTTTATTCAAGTTTTTTCAGATAATGGACACAATTCTTGATATTGCGTAGTTTTCTTCAGAAAGGGGAGATAATTCCTTTTATAAATATGACAAAAATGGGTACCAAAAGATCATTCACCAATACAAATATGCCAAGAGTTGCTCTTTTACTGTTTAAATATATCTCGAATTTGACATACACAGTCATCTCAGTACCAGAATCTATGACAAACGAGACGATTTTAATTTTGAAATTATCAATTTCCCCCACCTTAGTAGCAATATACCAACTTCACCTGCATATGGGATATACATTTCCCAACTTATTCGGTATTCAAGAGCTTGCAGCTCCTTCTCAGACTTTGTGACTTTGTAAAACGTCACCAGTGTCTGAGCAGAAAGTTGACGAACCAGGGGTATGTCAAAGAACGTCTCGTCCTTTATCCTAAAAAAGTTCATCGGAAGGTACCAAGACCTTGTTGATAAATATTCCGTATCAACTTCACAAATAATACACGATGGTCTTGAAGTATAGATTCTGCGTACTGACGTTGTTTATCTTCTTAATAACGTGTTATAGTATTCTTTTATTTGTCTTTATTATTATTACTTTTACTGTTAAGTCTGTTTTTTGAGATATCCATTTGACGTGACTCTGTTCTTATGTATCCCGTCATAATTTGGACGACAAAATTATTTTATTTATTAATATCACTTTTACTGTTAGTTCTGTTTTTTGTGATATACATTTGACGTGACTCTGTACTTATGTATCCCCTCATACTTTGAACCACAAAATTATTTTATTTATTAATATTACTTTTACTGTTAAGTCTGTTTTTTGTGATATCCATTTTACGTGACTCTGTACTTATGTATCCCGTCATACTTTGAACGACAAAATTATTTTATGTCTACCTGTGCGAATTTCAACGCCCGATTTTACGCCAGTACTTAAAACCTTCCATCCTTTAAGGGTGGATTTTACATAGATAAATTAAATCGTATAATAAAAAAGCAAAATGAGGATGTTAAATTTGATGTATGCCTTTATGTGTGCTTCGTTACATTTGTTTGTTTTTATAGTGATTAAGATGATAACACAATGTTGACTGCTGTACCCTTATTTTTGACATTTCTACCTATTGTGTCTGTTTGTTTTGTTCATGCATAGTTGTCAATATAATGGAATTTGATCCGACTGTCATACAAGTGAGAGGTTTAGCTAGCTATAAAACCAGGTACAATCCACCATTTTCTACATAAGAAAATGCCTGTACCAAGTCAGGAATATGACAGTTGTTATCCATTTGTTTGATGTGTTTGAGCTTTTGATTTTGCCATTTGATTAGAGACTCCTTTTTTAATTTTCCTTGGAGTTCAGTATTTTTGTGATTTTACTTTATACAACTGACAAACCAACTTTTCTGTATATTTTCCTTTAATTAACATTAAATTGAATTACAAAAATATATAATATGCATGAATTGAAAAAAGACCTGAGTCAGTTCATGAATAGAACCCTGAGTAGCTTTTAGCACAAAATATTAATTTTATAAATTATCAGTGAGAAAAACCACTTTTTTATAATACATACAAATGAGAAGACTAGTAAACTATTTAAATGCCCAAATATATAAATGAAATATCAGATAATGTACAGTAAACAATGTATAAACACCTGCAACAAAATTTTAATACAAAAAAGCCAGATGAAAAACATTTTTCATTTAATATCCAATGACATCCCTGCTCTTTGGAATAGGTGGATACAGGAAACCGTCATGGGGACAGTTGCTTTTGTATTTACTTGACCCATTTGGGCTGTAACGATGGTGATGGTAAACATCAGTGAGAAAAACCACTTCTTAACAAAATATACAAATGAGATTAATGTCTCCAGAGACTAGTAAATTAAATGCCCAATAACTGAAATATCAAATAATGGTAAACAATGAATAAACACCCGCAACAAATGTTTAATACAAAAAAGCCAGATGAAAAAAGTTTAATCTATTATCCAATGACATCCCTGCTCTTTGGAATAGGTGGATACAGGAAACCGTCATGGGGACAGTTGCTATTGTATTTACTTGACCCATTTGATCCATTTGGGCTGTAATGATGGTGGTGACGAACATATCTTTTGGATTGGTCACAGCTGACTGGTTTGAAGGTCTTTGACAGGCAGATCTCAACCTCATATACTAAGTGCTTCCTGGTTTTCTGTAATAAGGACAAAAAAATCTTTTTATTTATGTAAAAAGGTAAAGTTTTTACTGATATTTTTAATAATATTGAATATCTGTTACAGTCTTTTTTCAAAATTTGTGCAAGCTCAGAGGTAGATAGGTTTAACCTATATATGGTTAACAAGATTTTGATAAATGCAATCTTGAAAAATTATTGAAAGGAATCCCATCTTTTTGCAAAGTTAAATCAGTATGAGTTACTTTTCAAAATTGTCATTTATTGAATAAACTCTGAAAAAAAATATTTCCTGAAATGAAACTAAAGACAATACATTCATTTATATTTGGTCAAATTCTCAATCAAGGAAGAATTTGGTGGGTGATGTATTAAGAACTTTCATGAAAATATTAATAATTTCCCTACAAAATAAAAAGTGATGAAATGATTTTTTTATGACTTTCTTTAAAATAGAAACAAATAGTTTTAATGACATACTTCAAAATTCACAATAAAAGCCAACTCATAAGAAAATGTGAGAAAAAATAACAAAAAAACCTTCAATAATGGGCAGTATTTTTTGCAATTAGAATTTTTAATCAAGGTTTGAAGTGAAATATTACAACTGACATGATACAATTATTCTACTTTCCCCAAATGTGAACTTATCAAAGTAATTTGACCAACTTTATGGCAAATTCATCAGAGTTAAAAAGTTTCAAAGTTTCTTAAATATGTGTATCTAACAAAAGTATCAATATATTAATTAAGGGTCTTTATTTTAAACTAACAATTTTTTTTTCTAAAGTTCATTTTGTTGTAGACCATATTTAAGATTTACAAAAATGACAATAGTTTGACTATGATTATATTGTCACAGCAGTTTTCACTTCAAATAAAACAATGATGTCAATATAATAGAAATGGTCTATTACCTGGTCATAAGCACATTCTATCCTAGGTACAACTCCAATCTGGTCCTGAATAGCTGTTTCTAGCTGACTGACCTTTAACATATTAACATGAAACTTTGTGAATAAAGAGATATGCTGCTCACATTATGATACAAATGTAGATTAGATATTAGCCCATAAAAACTAAAAGCTATCTATACCCGAGTCTTTGGCATATTACCAAAAACTCTGCAAACCACCCAGTGAAACCCCTCCCCTCCCCCCCCCCCCAAAAAAAAAAATAATAATGGCATTGAAGTAAAAGAATGTGTCCCTTAACTGCATTTTTTGTTTAAATAACAGTAGCATTTTTAAAATGATTTTCGGTTACCATGCTGCAAAAAGAATGTTCTCCTACCACACTAATAGGAATACTGGTTTACTGTTATACTTAGGCTATAACCATTATAAAGATTTTTGAAAGTGTTCTTATAAGGACTATTACATTAAAATGTATGTGGGAGGGTAGGAAGGGAAGTTTAATTATTGAATGTAGGTCATGGGTCTTTTTTCAGTATGCGTCTATTACCATTATGCAAAATTATCTAAAAAATGGTTCTTGGTTGTAGGGATATTTTGAAAGTCCCTTCCTACCCTCCCACATACATTTTAATGAAATAGCCCTAAGGATAAACTTTTTACTCACATTATAAATTTTTGTGTCGCTTGGCATGATATTCTTATTGTTCAATAACCTGCAAATATATATTTATTAACAACTGAATCTGAAATATATTTATATCTTAAGTTTACCCTTAAAGGTCAAACAAAAAAACTAACTTCAAAGAAAAAGGTAAAATTCTTTCTTTTGTTGATTAGAAATTCAATGCCAAAAAAGAAAAAAAATCACAAAGAGTATGTAGGAAAAATGATTTTCTCTGAAGGTTTGTATCTTGTTGTATTCTGATCAGCTTCTATCAAAAATGACTAACCCCATCTATTTTTGACTTCATACGCAAGTAGTGACAGGACTGTGCAATTTGGATATACATTATTTTGTATTATTTGTGTTGTTGGGTGCTGTTTCAGTGATGTTACAGCCAATATATATTTTCCCAATATCTAGAACTACAAATCCATAATTGTAAAACTCACGTGGTAGCATCTAGACCTTTCATTACATCAAGAGCTTTTCTGAAGTACATATATTCATTAGCAGTTGCTGGTAAATCCATAGCACAAGTTCCATGTTTAGTCCATTCATGCTCCCTACAAAAACACATGTATAGAGTTATTATATAAGAAATATACAGGAGATGTGGTATGATTGTATATCAATTGACCTTTCGGGCAGGTTCGTAAAGGGTCATTAGCTGTCAAATTCATATTCACCGATTTGACTCAAGCTCTCATATTTTATTTATAACATACTAAAAGTACATCCAAATTATAAAAAGTCTAAAATAAACAATTTACAATGCATGGGCTTGATAGTATTAACAGCATTTCATGTGAATTTTAGTCTAAACGCCATCTAATTAACCATCAAGGTGACCTCCAAAGACTGCCGGCGGTCATATAACCTGATATTGACATAACTATAGATATAAATAGATAGCTAACTCGTGCAATTTGATTTTTCTAGGTCTGTTTGATTTCATATTATAGGTTAAAAATATATGTTAATCATCGTTTTTACCTGTATAAGAATGAGTTTTTGTGGATTGAATCAGTCAATTAATTGGTTTACCCTTATTTCACTTTCAATGTTGACATGCTTTTCCTTTTAATAACTAAACACACCTAATTCATATGTAACCCATCTCTAGCTAAAGGGTTAAATTGAAGGTCACATGAATACGGATTCAATGAGGTCGAATTATTCACTTGCAAGTGAATAATTCATCAGAGATGTTTCGTAGCTTATTTTGTCAAAATTGAACCAAACTGGCTGCTAAAAGCGAATTATTATTTCCCTTTTTCACTTTCATTAATAATTGAAAAAAAAAATATATTTTAAGTTTTTTTTTATCTCGTAGCTAATGACCCTTTAAAAAAAATAACTAAAACATAATCAGTCAAAAACACTTGTATAATGAGTTCTCACCAGAAACTGGTATCACTAGTATCAGCGTACATGTTAGCCCAAAACTTGCTTAACTCTGATGTCATATTCTGCAATTATTAAAAAAAAGTTTCTGGTAAAATATGTAAACTGATAGAAGCATTTATTCATCTTTCTTTATCATCAAATGACTAGTCTAAAATATAAATTACACATACAGGAAAATAAATTGCTTTGCTAATTTAATCACATTGTGCTATATATAATTACATTGTGCTACAAATAATCACATTGTGCTCTATATAATCTCATTGTGCTATAAATAATAATTATTCTTTTTATAAATGAAATCCATGTTCTTCAATTAATAGAATTTTCTATTTAGCAGAGAAAGAAGTTTCAACTTTGAATCACTGGTCTTAGATTTTACATCTAATATATCTGTAACTTTTCAACTTTGAATCACTGGTCTAAGTTTTTATAACTAATATATCCGTAACTTTTCAACTTTGAATCACTGGTCTTAGATTTAACTAATATATCCGTAACTTTCACTTTGCAGTATTTACCTTAATGATGTTAGCATCAAATGGCACTTGTCTGCAGTCTGTTGGACCTTCTGTTCCAAACTTTGTAGGCCTAAAGTAAAATGAAAAAGAACAAATATTCTAACTTCGAGAAGCCAAATGTGCAAAATACATTAGGAAAACAGCATTATAGAGAACATAGAAAGAATATTCAAAGCTATCAAAGGTCAACGCTGTGTTAGAGATTTGTAATCTCTATTGATGCCTCCATTAGACCTCTTCTCATCAACTTTTAGCAACAAACTTACCCAAAAAATGTCTTTTTAAAATATGTTGATGTGATTATAAACATTTTTTAAGGGAAAACTTTTGCTCACACTTTCGGTCAAATTTACCATTTTAAAACATGTTTCTGAGATTTTTTTTTACACTGTGTTTGGTATTTCAAAAATCAGCACAGCAATTTCATATTTATAGTATATGTGATTTAATGTAATTTTGAAGGATTACAAATTTATTTTTGTGTGCACAAAATGGTACATGTATTGCCAATCACAACTCATCAAACTTTTCATTCCACATTTTTTTATTGTAAAGTTTTTTTTTTCTATAGGCGATTGTTCAGTCTAACAGGATTTACATGCAGTTAATAGCTAGCAGATATTCTAGTAAAATATTAATATGAAACTAACCAGAGACCATGTATAGACCAAGTTGATACACCATCAGGTATCACACACCTATGGTGCTGTAAAAAATAAAAGTATACAATATTTTACATTAATAACAATGGTAAAGATGATTTTTTTTACAGATTCTACTTTATATCTAATTTACTTCAACCAAATAAGACCTGACAACACAACTAACTTGTAGTGCATTTCTTTTGAACAATAAATGCAAATTAAAAGAATCGCACCTGCACTTTCAACATAACATTTATACAGTGTGATGTACTACTTCTAGGACAAATTATATCAAAATTATAAAAATCTTCACTCAAAATATGGACAATTTTATGTTGAAGGGGTCATGAATTCAGTTTGGCAGCTTCAGACACACCATTTTTTTTTTCATTGTTCAAGTGGACCAAATCAAAATTTTACCTTTAAATTTATGACCCAATTTTTTTGAGTGAAAATTCATTCCCTTTGTTGTTATTTGAGGCATAAAACATGAGAAAATGATATGGGAGGGTGTGTGCAAAATATTTGCAAGGATAACACTGTCCAGACTAGGGACTTTGTTTGTAGACCATGAAAATCAAAGGGTGATAATTGTGTCATCAGGCCTATTGAAAGGTCAATATATGCATATATATGCAGGCAGTGTTGCCATGATGTCTCAAGACGTAGGGGTTCGAATGCCGCTGAGGGAAGAACAAAAATTTGTTTATGCAAATTTGCAGATCTAACATTGTTAGGCTAAATTTAACATGTTTAAGACAAAGTATATGAAAAATTATGGTGTTAGCCCTGTATAACCACAGGTTATCCGATGGAAAATGTCTGTCATAAAGTTGTCACATATTTACCTTTTTTCACTCGAGCCTCACTGATGAGTCTGGTGTACAAAATTTTAAACCTACTATGTATTATAGGCTTATCAATAATAGACTTAAAGAAATTCTATATGAGCAATTTGGATTTCAGTTTTTCAAATAGTTCTTGTTGCAATCTGAATAAGGTTGATCAAACACAGTAAAATCAGATAACAATCAGCAATAGTATCATAATTGAAGATTATGTACTATTATTGCTATTAATTTCATGTTATATAAAAGAAATATTAACAGTTGAAGGATTAGTTTATTTTGTCATGTTCATAGTTTTTTAATGCTTAGTTTGTGCATACCTCTTGCTCTCCCTGAACACACACAGTGGTAGGCCATTCCTGAGTAAACGTAAAAATATCCCATTCAGCCGACATACTGTAAAGTAGATGGTACAATAATGCATAAATATTCTAATTGTATATATAGATGAACAAACAAAAACATAAAAATTTTATATTATCTCTTGTACATGGTTTTCACTAATTAATTTAGTCACTAAATTGGTGTAGGACCTTTTTAGATAATAAAAAAAAAAACCCAATTTTTAAATTCATGCGTCCAAAGTTCTTTTACAAATTTACCTTTATCAGGAATGCTGAAACCAAAACATCTAAAAGCCCAAGGTGAATAAAACCAAAACATATGAAAAGCAATAATTTACAGCTGTTATCCTAATGCTAGCAAGTTAAAGGTTTGGTTGGATTGATTGCTTTGTTTGTATTAATGTTTGCTCAAGCATTGTAATTAAGATTGACATCTGCTAACAATATAAGTAGGCGGAGTTAAACCTGTATATAGGTAAATTTGATTATTTGATAATGTCCAATCAAATTTAAATATAATGTATACAAGTTTAACTCCACCTTTTTATATTGTTTTCAGATGTCAATCTTAATTACAATGCTTGAGCAAACATTAATACAAACAGCAATCAAGAAAACCAAACCTTTAACTTGCTAGCATTAGGATAACAGCTGTAATAAATATATATATACCCTAAAAGGCCTGTTAATTGGATTAAAGATATGATCGCAGATGATAAGTAACTATAAACTATCTGACATAAAACTGCATCCAGATTAATGAAAGATGAACTATTTCAGTAAGAGGCTATTATACTTCCCTAAATACTTCCATTAAATCTTATAACACTATTTTTACTGTAAATTCAGAAATTTTTGTGATGTTTTTGTTTGTGTGAAAATTGCATCTGGACAGGTTTCACAAAAATAAAAATTCATCTTTTTACAGAAACTAGTGCAAAAATAAATCCCAGTCAATGTTGGTGCTTATGGAATTAATTGTTATACACAATATCAAAATAAATTTAGTTTCTCTTTTCCATTGTTATGAAGTGAATGTGATTTATAATAACTATCTAAAATGATTTTAAATCTGACATAGAATAGCTTAACATGTTTCTATGCATAAATGGGTGTACCTGAGTGTAAAGCAAAGAACCAAGAGGAAAATTGTCTTCATGGCTGGAAACATCAAGTCAACCTGCAGTTAAAAATATTTTATAGTATACTAAATAAATCTTGTTATAAAGTGAGTGAAATACTATTATTACTGTTGTATATAAAACTTCTAGTAAATTTGAATACAATGAATGTACTTCAGTCATTCCCAAGGTCCCTAGACATTGGTCATAGGCCAGTAAAAAAATTGGTTTGGTCCAGTTAAGTGATATGCATTACTGGATCAAATGACCAGTAAAATTTTTAATTTTGTCCAAATCATATGTGTAAATGTCCTGTGAAAAAAACTCTGGTCCAGTTAAGAAGAATGGTTTAACAGACCAAATGTCCAGATGATTTCTCAAGGCTTTGGGAACCACTGGTATTTGTAGTCCAGGCATCTGTTATAAACCATGCATTTATCATGAACAGAAATATGTCATGAAATATTGGTTAAATATGCAAAACATTCCTGATATAGACCAAGACAAATCTTAAAGACTTTTAACCTCTGACTGTTGACCTTTTATCAATTTTATATTGTAAATACATATGCCATCAGTATAAATATGCCATTAGAGGGAGGGTTGAGTGCTCACAGACATGTTTATTTCTGCCATATTCTGTTTGTGCCTGTCCAACAATAATCATGATTATAAACAAAAGAAACTAATGGTACAAAATCTTTTGCAGTGGATTTATTTATCACACCTGGCAAACTTAAATCATTGAACATAAATGAGACAAAAACCCGACGACAAAGAATATTAAGGTCAATATATGGTCTTCAAGCGACAAGTTTCTATACAATATATCTTCACCAGGTTAGTACTTCATGAGCACTGAGATGGGTGCCACATGTGGAGCAGGATCTGCTAACTCTTCCAGAGCACCTAAGATCACCCCTGGTTTTTGGTGGGGTTTTTGTTGCTCAGCTTTTAATATTTAAGTTGTGTTTTGTAGACTTGCTTGTCATTTGTTAGTTTTTTATTTTCTGCCATGGCATTGTCAGTTAGTTTTAGAGTTATGAATTTGACAATCCTTCTGGTATCTTCCGCCTCTCTTTTATTGAATTTAATTTGACTAAAGTCTAGAAAAACAATGGGAATAAATTAAACTTCTAGGACTTAAAGATCTGCAATCAAAACCAAAACTCCTCATGGAAAAATAAAGACTTAAAGACAACCAAACCAAAAACTAAGTTCCTGCATTGATTCAGTTGTAACATAGAATTTACATGTAAAAATAAGTAATTGAAGCAAAAAATTGAATAACTTACAATTGATGAAACTGTGAAAACCTGTGTCCACTCCTGTCTCAGTCCACTTTGGAACTGAAAATATTTATAGCCTTCTGGCCTTCTTATAAACTACAGTAAAATCTTTTGAAATTCAAGTTGGTGTTGTCTAAACTGAAACACAAACAAATTCATACAAAAAATATCACTTCTAACACTAAATATTCTATTTCTACACCTCCTATATATATACCTAGCTATTTCAAAATAAAAATACATTAAAAGTCTATTACATGTATTATTTTTTAAAAAGGAAAATAAATTTTGTTTTACTATAGACTACCACCTCACCACTACAAAGTCAATCATGACAATACTGGTGCCTACTAGTTAATTGTAGATCTTTATTGATCTGGACTGATAAGAACACATGTATGTCTATATCTAGTACAGAAATTTTCTTTAATAGTACATCGTATAAATGTACTAAAATCTTCTTTATATTACACTTGAACCTACTTTTATAGTCTACAGTTAATTACTGAAATGTGAATGTGTTATTTCCGACAAGCCTTAGTTTATAGTTCAAATGAACCTTCTCTATGTGTGCAAGGCCTTTGTTTGGGTTTAGTTGGTTAGTACTTCGCTTTGTGTAAATAGAAAGATGTGTGTATATTCAAACTCTGTTTACTAGACTGAGTAGGGACATTATGAATACAATATAGCGTAATAATGATATGACGTAACAATACATAATTTTACCTATGTTACAGTCTTTGACGTTAGGAATAAGAGTAGCTTTAATCAGTTTCTCTGCATTGCGGTAAATCGTAATAGACTTTATAGTTGGAAAGCACACAGTACCTTGAAATAAGACTGTGCATGCATTGGACTAGTTCAATCTAAACAAGGGCTATGATTTCACATGGTTGCCCGTTGGTTCATTCTAACTAAGACAGTGCATGGACAAGGTTAAATTAAGGTGACAGTAGTTTAACGATGTTTAAATCTTAAATTGTTTAGGAATAGACAAATCAAGGTAACAAACAAAAGCTGAGGGAATGCCATGAACTCCAAAAAGAACGATCCTCGGTCACGACAGTGTGTTGACAGGCTATGCATGCATCACCATTGTTCAGTCATGCGAATTCACACTTCACCAAAATGTCACAATCGGGGAAAAAAAGTTATCAATTAATTCAGACTTCTCTCTCAAACACTGCATCTGAAAACCCTCTACACCAAGGAGATGTCAGAACAAGGCTGAGTAACTGAGCTCCAGTATGGCATTGTGAAAACTTCTTTTTACATGGATTTGTGTTATTTTCTATTAAAAGAAATCTTTTGGCTTCAGATTTTTTAAACAATAGATCATCTACATGTAATTAAAATTTTCTCCTTTCAGCATCAAAGATCTATAAATTGGTTTGTGCAATATTATAATAAAAAATTACAAGAGGCTCCTTGGAGCCTGAATTGCTACCGGACAAAAATATGGCATTTCAATATTTACTTATACCTTTTACACAATCAATAAACTGCTTCGCTGAGTGCAGCTGGATACGCCCGCAGAGGTCCAACCCTGAACAGTTGGGCAAAAATGGACACAATATTCAAGCTTGATACAGGTCTGAATTTGGATTGTTATTAAATATTTGACATATTATAGGTTTCTGAATAAATGTAGTCAAAGAACTTGAAATTGGTTATATGAATTGAATTTATATTCAATTAAAGATTTCTTGCTGTTGTGCAATACACTGCTGTTGCGCATTACTTAGTAAATCTGTTGTCAGACTACAAACAAATAAAATCTTATAACTCGGAAACTTAAAATCGAAAATTTATAAATATCAAAAGGGAGCTTACAAAGATAGATATAAACAATTTACCAAAGTTTCATAAAAATTGCTGAAAGCATTTTTGAGTTATTGTCCGAAAACTGGAAAATCCACCCATTTTGTAATGAATAAACCCCCATAAATCGGAAACGTATAGTCTAAAACTTATAAAAATCAAAAGGGAGCTCATGTCGACAGAAATAAACAATTCACCAAAGTTTCTTGCAAATTGGTGAAATTGTTTTTGAGTTCTTCTCCGAAAACTGGAAAATCCACCCTTTTTTAATGAATAAAACCCCAAAACTCGGAAACGGTAAATCCGAAATTTATAAAAAAACAAAAGGGAGCTCAGGTCAATAGATATAATCAATTCACAAAAGTTTCATGCAAATTGGTGAAAATATTTTGGAGTTATTGTCCGAAAACTGGAAAATCCCCCCTTTTTTAATGAATAAAACCCCAAAACTCAGAAACGGTAAATCTGAAATTTATAAAAAACGAAAGGGAGCTTACGTCAATAGATATAAACAATTCACCAAAGTTTCATGCATATTGGTAAAAGCGTTTTTTGAATTAATGTCGGACATGTTGACGACGGACGGACAGACAGACGGACGGACAGACGGATGGAGAGACAGACTGTCAACAGTCTACCATAATACGTCCCCTAAACGGGCGTATATAAACTAATAAATAGAACTTTTAATATTAAAAATTAAATTTTTTATATTAAAAAATCGCTATTTTTTAATCTTAAAAAAAATAATCTTTAATATTAAAAATTTGTAAGGGGTTCCGTGAAACCCTGTGTCTCGTCTCGCCTACGATTGCTGCTATCAGCGTAAAAGTGTAATGTTGACTTAAAAAATGAGTCCATTCATCAGTAAAATACAAAATTTAAAAAATATTCAAACAGTCTTTTTCTTTAGATGCTATTTCATGGTCTTGACGATTAGCTTCTGTTCAAGTTTTATAACAATCCATGAAGGTTTAAAAATTTATAATGTCAAAAAAGTTTAATCCCAGACTGTCTGTAAATGATAACTGTAAATAACTAAGTCCATCTATCAGAAAAATACTGAAAACGAAAAAAATATATCTCTTAATCATAAAAAAGCTTGTGCCAAAGTTTCACAAAATTCTGAGAAGGTTTGATAAAGTAATTGATGTGTAACAAACTTTAACACCAGACTGTATCTATTTGTTAACTGTAAAAATAAAATTAGTCTATTTATCAGTTAAAAATGGAAAAATGAAAATCAATATCTTCAAAATTTTGCTGTGAAAACCGTATTTTGGTAAAAACTAAACTTCTGTCAAAATTTCCTAAAATTTCACGATGGTTTTACATTTAAGTTATTGATGACTAAAATACTTTAACATCAGACTGTATCTACTTGTTATAATAACTGTAAAAAAATCTAAGTCCATTTATCAGTAAAATATGGAAAAATGAAGATAAATATTTTCTAAATTTTGCTCTGGATACTGTCTTTTGGTCATAAACAAGCTTCTGTTCAAACATTTGCTGCAAACTTGCCGCAACCATTTTACCATGCAAATAAAGGTTGCGGCAAGCTTGCAGCAAACATAATAATGCAAATTAGATTTGCCAAAAACTTGCTGCAAATTTGCAGCAACTGTTTGCTGCAAACTTGCGTCAAACTATACCAATGTCATGTGTGTAGACACATTCAATTCATCTCTATCAAATAACACGACACATTCAATTCATCTCTATCAAATTACACATCAAAATTTAAAAAAAGAACTTCCTGCATGCCTATATACAAACAGTCATTGAAATAATACTTTGCAACTAATGAGATTTGAGGAAATACATACATGCATTTCATTTTTGAAAAAGGGGGCGGGGGTCATTCTCAAAAGATATCATATACCGGTATAAAGAAATAAAAAACAATAAATCTTAGATGTGTATTTAGCATAAAGCTAGGTAATAATTGTGTTACAGATTTGAAATTAACTTTATTAAACAGTATACTTTAATCAAGTACAAAATTCAAACTTATACATGTTATAATAGCAAGAGTATTTCAAACATATAGTTGTTAACTTAATTATATGTATGATGGTGACATTAATTATTTTATTACATCAAAAGTTCTATGTATAATTTGTACTAACAATGTTACATATTGAATATCCAATATTATTGAACCAAAATGCCTCCTTGATCTCTTATGTATATGTAACATTTATCAAACACAATCAACATGACCTAGCCCACAATTTCAAATTGTTAGCATCCAGGAAGTGCCAACTAGGCATGCCCAGTCAATATTGTGTAATTCTGGCAATGTTCTGGCAAACATATAGAATGGTCAAAGTTTTCTGCAATCTAATGCGGCAAATATATAGAATGGTCAAAGATTTCTGCAAACTTGTGGCAAACATTCTTTATCATCTTAACTTTCCTGCAATTTTACGGCAAACATTGATGTTTCTGCAAACTTGCCGCAATAAGCTGAAATATTTGCCGGAAGTTTGCAGCTAGCGGCAACATCTGCAAACACTATTTTCTCTATTCCTGCAAACTTTTTGTTTGCCGCAAGCTTGCAGCATTAAGTCTGCTGCAAATTTGCGGCAAACATTTCAGTTCTATAAGGGTTGATGTCTAAAAAAACTTTAATCACAGACTGAACCTAAATGTTGACGCCGCAGACGACGGAATCTAGGATCGCTATGTCTCGCTTTCGCGAAATAAATTTCGCAGGCTCGACAAAAATTTGATTTATTAAAAATTAAGTTATAATTTTTGGTATTAATAAATGATTTTTTAATTTCAAAAAATAGGGAATAAATTCTACAATGGCTTGCCATACTGGTTTAGAACCCGTTACATCAGAAATTTGCGTTTTTCTCAAATAAATTTAATCAGGAACACTTTGGGGAAGGACTTTCAATTTTTCTTAGAGACGATGAAAAAAACAGGTTACCGGTACTAGTATGACAATTTTAGCAGGAAATTTTACAGGTAAGAGGACCAGTTACCGTCACTATCCAATTTTGCCATTAAATGATAGAATTTACATTTAATCGGGACATTAATGTTATATTTGGCATCAACATTCTGACCATTAATTTGGAAGGTCTCCTTCCTGCTCTTAAAGTTCACTTTATGTCAATTGAAATCAACCACTTACAGGGTATTGAAAGACACATAGATTTTAATTTTATATTCTTCAGAAAGAAATTAAAATTTTCTAACGCAAGGTTAGATATTGCTTTGTTTAAAAACAGTTTTCCAAATCTGGTACGTCATGTCCCCACACGTGTATCTTCCCATGGCATTTTCAATTTACAGAAAATTTGGCATTTCCCTATCTTAATAGACTCAAATAAAACGGATTATTTGCAAATGAGATAAAAATATTTGTCTGAAGATATCAGCAGTCTGTTGTTTTTAGGCGTTTACTTCCGTTATTGAATAAAATGACAGATGACGGTAACTGGTACCTGACAGTAACTGGTCCTGGACCAGTATTGATGACCTTTCCTGAAATTCTTTGTTCAACAAAAAGAATAAATATACAGCATACGACACATGACATAATTTCATGCTAAAAACAACTCAGACAAAGGTTTAGCTGAAACTTCTTCCAGATACTGCCACAATTCAACATATTGAACAGTTGAATATTTTAAATAATAATTCTGACAATAGACTGGGCCTAGTCCAAATAATTAAGACGTTGTAGGAAGGCGTCACAGAAAAAAAAATAAAATAGCCTTTCAAGACGTCATTATTATTTGGACTAGACTGGGCCATGAAATGGCATGATCTCAGGCTAAGTAAAACGTATGCATCCATCCACTGGCTCCTACTTAAAATATTATACATTATATTTATATCTTTACCTTACACTGCTGTATTGCACTTACACACTGTCACTGAAGAATGAGTAAGGATCAGCTGATTGATGTGACGGTCGGATGTCTTCTGTTCCTTTCCGCAAAGTCATTGACAAGGAACCCGTAATTATTATTCTGAAAATAAGCCACTCCGTATTTGACTCCGAGTCTTAGAATATAAACTTTTGACAGGTTGCATCTCACAATTGATGTTAGCAATTTTATTGCGATTTTAACTTCATTGCCACATATCTATGGTAATATCCAAGTCAAAATAATCAATATTACGAAAATATATCAATTTTAACAAGTCTACATGAACCGTCTTGCTGCCAAAGGCATATAAACAAAGTACTTATTTATTGAATATTGTGCTGTTGTGTAGACGACTCTCAAATTCATGCATTTTCCCGTACATTTCCTATGTCTCAGTGCTTATGTTAATCCCTCACAGTAAGAACCAATTATATAACAGAAGTGTGGAAATGGTATGCATGTCTCGCCCGACTCACCAGAATATGAAAAAAAATATGCAAACTCTGGTCTCATCAACATAACATTATCTTTGTCCATTTACCCGTGATTGCTAATTTAATATTATCTGCCATCTTATGGAAGTGTCATTTTTTTTTTTTTATGAGTTCTAAAGATGTCAGATAAACGCCTAAATCAGGTAATCAAGACAAAAAGAATTAATATAATAATGACGAGTCCAGATAAATCGAAAAAACAGAGATGGAGAAAGACGGGGAATATGAAAAAAAGCCGAAACAAGATTTACAGAAGTCATGCCTCAAACAGATTTCCCCAGTCTCTCCAGTGAAGAAACTTCCAAAAATGAATTTAATTTTTGCACAATTTGCAACACCCACTTCTTGCTGATCAAAAATCTAACTTTAAATATCTTCTATATTTTGTGTATTTTTCAGGTTTTACAAAATGAATGTACATATACAGAAAAAGTGAAGGAAAATCATTGAAAACTACAAGAAAATTAACTGAAAGCAGAAGATTTACATGTAGATATTGACATACATGTACCATTAAGATGAACAAAATACATAAATAACCTACTACATGGCTGCATTAGTTATGATGAATCGGAAGAAAAAATCGATACTGTACATACTCTGTAGCGGGGCTCTGATTTACTATGTAATACAAGTGGTATATTTCAACCAGGAGTATAGTCCATTACAAGTACTAGCAGATGCCAGAAGCGAGGCTCGAAGATTACTTAGGTTTATAACATTGTATCATTACCAGTGCAACAATACAGTAATGATGTCTAACAATACTAACTGGCCTGTTTGTACTGAAGTGGATGGTGGAATAAATGTGGAGTCGAAAAATTCTAAAAAGGCTTACTCTGTTGGGTATGTTCGTTTAATATATCTACATACATTGCTTATAAGACTTCTTATACATGTTATATATATTTGAAATGACATTTTATATAATTACATAGAAGTACCTAGGGGTGGAAAACATTTACATTTTGTAGGTGATTCACCTATATACCTTGTCATGTTGATGTATGAATTGAAATTTGTGTGCAGGACAGGCAACCATCACTTGTGAAATAAGGAAAATTGTACAGAATGGGATACATATATATCACTGAAAGGAGGTGTGCGGTATAAGTCAATGAGAGTATCCCAACATCTCCACACAATAAAAGCCGAAAACATCAAAAGGTCATATATACAAACTTCATGAACAGACAAGTATGTAAACAATACAAGTATATGAAAAAAATACCCTTTTAAATTATCAACAGAACGTGTATATTTTGTAAGATTTATAAATAAATATAAACCTAGAATTTGAACTTTATTTAAGGCTTTGAACACTATTTCTTAATTATCCGTTAATTTATTGTTTTGCTTGTACAAAAAGAAATGACATCATTTTATATTTATTTTTCTTTTGCAGGCCTTCTGAAGACTTAGAATTTGAAAGACTCCTCGTCAGAAATTTATCATTTAATGTATTTCTCATATGTCACAGACCAATATACTACGATGGAAGTTTGAATAATACATATGTTATTAAAACAGTTGTGGTGCCAAACGACCCATCAGACTTTACTAGAAATTCATATGAAACACAGACGTTGAACGATATCATGTTAAATTTACATCATACTCACATAGATGTACTTAAAATAGAAAATGTTATGGATGAGATCAATACACATGAGATTTTATTTTATCTTGTTAAGGATGATCTCTTGAAAAAGGTTGATCAGCTTCATATTTCATTACATATTGGTAAGTTCACCACATGAGATTTTATTTTATCTAGTAAAGAATGATCTCTTGAAAAAGGTTGATCAGCTCGATATTTCATTACATATTGGTAAGTTCACCACATGAGATTTTATTTTATCTAGTAAAGGATGATCTCTTGAAAAAGGTTGATCAGCTCCATATTTCATTACATATTGGTAAGTTCACCACATGAGATTTTATTTTATCTAGTAAAGGATGATCTCTTGAAAAAGGTTGATCAGCTCCATATTTCATTACATATTGGTAAGTTCACCACATGAGATTTATATTATCTTTAAATGACTGTATCTTCAGATGAGTCTATCGCATGATATTATGTAGTTAACATATCAATCAGTTGTAAGTAATAAGATTTTATAGGAGATATTCAAAAATTATAAATGAGACTTTATAGTGGTTGGATAAAAATTTGACCAATGATATTGCATATTGGAAAGCTTTCATGAGATTTTATGTTAGTGGTGCCTTGAACACATGTTGTAAATGACTAGCTACATTATAACAAAGATGATGGCAGTCTTACTCTCTAAAGTTAACTACATTCATACGGTATTGCATAGTATCCAGCTGCATTTAGATGTCAAGAATGACGGGAAAGTTGACACGAACACAAATTGCAATAATTTGAAATGAGACTTAAGCTTGCTTCAGGTATTTGTTAGAATAACTTGAAACACTCAAACTGTCTTCCAAAGAAAGAGAATGAAGCAATCAACCATTTTTAACCAGTAATATGGACAACAAATCAATCAAAGAGACGATCAGTTTTCAAAGCTTATCTTTGATTATTGTTTTTACAGTATATTTCAACTTTCCTAAAAATTGAAAACTGTTGAAAATCAGATGTCAAATATGTAAAAATCATATAACATTAAAGGCATTAAACCATAAAAGCTACATAAATCAAGTTGTTTCACTTGTGTCTGTAACAATATCCAATTACATGTAAATCTAGCCTTGAAAAATAGATGCATATACATTATACAGGGGCTGGATGTTAAGTCATTTCTTAATTATTTAACTTTTTAGACCATTTTTCTCTTTTCTTTATTTATGTTTACCCTTTTTCTCTATTCTTTATATTTCAGCACCCCATTATCATCTATTCTTTATATTTTTTGCCCTTTATTCTGCACTTTTTGCTTAATATTCTCTATTTTGTAAACCCCACCCTGACCCTCATGTACATGTTATAAATCATCAGAAAAAATCATTACAACACTACATGTTTCTACTTGGATATTATTACAGACACTTTTAAATTTGATGCAATTAGTCAAAGTTAAGTAATTAGGTCTTTCCACCTTTCAGTGGAAAGACCTATTGGTTTTCTTCTGATTATTTTTTTTTTCTTCCGCCTAATTTTTTTCTTGCGGTGTATTTTTGTTTCAAAAGATGTCGCTTAGTTTTTTGGTATATGATATCATACAGTCTATACGCTTTTGAAACTGACCCTGTTTAACCGAATACTTTTCTTTGTAAGAGTTATCTCCCCAAACACTGTTTTTCTTGTTATGAGATCTCCTCCGCAACCGTAAAAGAAAGCGACAAATTTATTTTTCCAAATTGCTCGTTATATCCTCAGGATGTTAGGTTTTATTTAGACCGAAGCTTTACGAAGACTCCATATGAGAGTTATTTCCCCTTTTGTATTTGATATATGTGAAATGTATTTGTAACTGGAAAACCATAAGTGATAGAGGCCTAGGGTCTTTTGATTTGAGGTCCTTGGTCCATAAAAATGAAAATGAGGTCAAGGTCAAAGGTCAAGGTCATGTTCAAAATTTTGATTTTGGCTTGTTATCTCTTATTTTTAGAAATCATATAAGATATCGACAAAATATTTTCATACAATTGTTAGTTGCGACATGTCGTAACACGTAAATTTTAGTTGAAAGGGTACGTAGACATTTGATGCGAGTTTTCCCCCCTTTTATATCTAATATTAGTCGTATGGAAATATATATCATTAACAATATAAAGTAGAGGCCTAGAGTCTTTTGATTTGAGGTCCTTGGTTTATGACCTTGAAATTGAGCTCAAGGTCATAGGTAATATTTAACGTTCTAGATTTTGACCTTTGCTTTTACCTCATATGTATACATGATAAAGACAAGGGACTTTTTGCATTAGGTTGCAAGCAATGTGACATTGAAAAAGTCAACCGGAAGTGACCTTTTGTAAACCGGAAGTAGCTATTTTTTGTACTAAATTATTGTAAAAGTATATAGAACCATATATTTTTGGAATCAGTGTCAAGTAAACTATCAAACAATACCGGAAGTAACATATTTTAAACCGGAAGTAAAAAATTATCTCCCTTATTTATATCTTTTTGTATAGAAACCATATATTTTTGGAATCAGCGTACAATAAGCTGTCATTTGACGCAGAAATTGACATTTAAAACAAAATTTTAATATTTTCATATCAAATACTCACTCACTAATCCTTACTGGTGGAAAGACCTTCAATTGTTCTGCGAACAATTGGTTTTTAATTTGTACTTTTATTTGTTATTTTGTTTATATTTTTGGTTTTATCGTCTTTGAAAAACAATCTTTAGTTGTAAAGGACAGAATACAAATAACAACTTCTATTTTTCATTTTGTTTTTCTTTTTACTTTTAAATCTATTAAAATGTTATATGATCAATTACAAATCCAATATACTTCTATGATCATTTCGGATAAGATTACACTTTTTATTGTCCAATGACCCATAATTATTGTTCACATGCTGAAAATATTCTTTTTCAGATAAAGTAGATGATGATCATTTATACAGTTGGTATAGAAGTCTGTATAACCTTTTCCACAAGTCAAGATTCAGATTATACCATACATCAGCATCAGATCAACTGTGTTTACAGATCACACTCATGGAGTCATGTACATACTACATGTCCTGGGTCAGAGATCCTGGACCACAAACCATGATATTGTACCCTCCAGCTATTGATGGTAGGTATACACCCTAAGCTCATTCTATCCTGTATTTATGGTAAATAAAGGGCCTTTTTTACCCACCTGCTATTGATTATAAGTTTATGTAAAGTCAGCTTTTGATAATAGGCAGTGTACTTGTAGCTTGAAACAAGATATTGTACCCACTTATATTTGATAGTAGTTTCGACCCTTGGGGTTCAAACTTTGATATTGTACCCACCTAGTATTTATGGTAGATTTAGACCCCAGCTCTTAAACCAAGATATTACACACACCTGCTAACCAAGATACTTACATGTAACCCTTGGTATATTGCATGAGAGCTCAAATAAAGATAGTGTACTAGAGTGCTATTGTCAGGTTCAGATTGTTGAATTTGTACTATCTTTAAAATGTGAGGTAACTACTTTTATTCTACAAAAATGTAGGTCAGGGCCCATGAAGTAATTATCTAAGAAATCCTGTGTTTTAACTGAAATAAAAGAAAGGGAATACTGTATGTACATATATAAGCAGTTTTCTTGAATGTTTCTAATTTTATGAATTAGGAAAACAATGAAAAAAAAACCCTGCAGGTTGAAAGAATTATTGAATTTATTAAAGTTGTATTACAACAAAAATACACAAAAAATACACATGAAGAAAAGTTTATTCACATACTGTACGCTGTTGCTGATTTCATGCACAGGTTCTTAAAATTAACACCAAAGAATAATAATTCATTCTGATTTGAATATAAAATATCATATCTTGAATGTAAGCTTTGAAAATGTTTATTATGTTTTATGAATGTTGTTTTAAAATATGCATTATATATTAGACAATTTGTGAACATTGTTATGTATTGTGTAGTACAAAAATGTATAAAACTTTGTTATGTATAGTGAATTATACAATTTGTAATGTTTTTTTTATTTTACAATTTATTATGTCTTATTTGTAATAAAAAACCCAAATATGTTTCAGGTTCAATAGAATTTGAGCTTGCAAGAATAGATGATTATTTAGAGAAACCAGAAGGCTATTGTGATGATAGTGTGGATATACCAGTACTGGGGGGTACTCCTATATCATTATGTACCAACACTGACAGATACATGTTAAGAAATCCTTGTAAAATTATTTTAATAGGGTAAGTGGATATGTCGGGAGGGGATAGATCTAGATATTTTTGTTAGGGGTTTTCATGTGGATACTTTTAAAGGTGGAGCTCTTGCCTCATTTTCAATTTTTGTCCGACCTGAAAGAAAATGTACCAATAAACTGGCAATTTGTAATCTAGATTTACCTTTATTTTTTATCTCATTCAAAGGTATTTAAATGAAAACTCTTGTAGAACAGAATTTGCCTATTTCTATCTCACAGGATATAATCTAATAATTTTTGTTAAATATTTGCAGGGAGGAGAAAATGCAATTAACTACAGATTCATATTTACCCTTTGAACTACGATGTGATGTTATTGGATTGAAGATGTTAGATGGTCATATTGATGCAGATGTTAATGAATATACCACCAATAATAGAGGGTAATATTAACCAATAATAGAGGGTAATATACAACCAATAATAGTGGGTAATATTAAGATATAATACTTCATGGTAGACATAAGTTAAGTTTGTTGGAGATTCCCTACAACTTCGAAAAATTAAAGAATTATTGGGAATGATTTAGATGGAATGCGAAAGTTATGCACCTTTGAAATTGGCCAAAAAAGAAAATAAAAATAGTTGCATTTGTAATAAAATACATGCCAGAAATAGTTTGCCTCACTGATCAACTGAGGGTTCATTATTTTAAACAAAATTTCAGGATCTAAAGCTGTTTCTAAAAAGATTGAAAATAAATAATCTTTGTGGGGAGATTAAATAGGGTGTTCTCTAATCTTGTGATCTAATCTCTGATTGGTCTTGAATGTAACTTGCCCCTTTTCTGTCTCGCATGTGGTCTTAGTTATTCCATGTCACATATATAGTTTTATATTGAAATAAGTATGATTGTACAAAAATATTGATTTGTTCAAAACAAATTTTTATCTCTATCATGTTCAAACTCTCCTCCTTAATTTAAATGTTACAAAAAAGCAGTGAGCAGAAAATTGCTAAAACCAAGCAGTGAGTAAAAAATTACTTAAAACCAAACAGTAAGTAGAAAATTACTTAACCAATCAGTGGGTAGAAAATAACTTAAACTAAGCAGTGAGTAGAAAATTACTTAAACCAACCAGTGGGTAGAACATAACTTAAACTAAGCAGTGAGTAGAAAATTACTTAAACCAACCAGTGGGAAGAACATAACTTAAACTAAGCAGTGAGTAGAAAATTACTTTAACCAAATAGTGAGTAGAAAATTACTTTAACCAAGCAGTGAGTAGAAAATTACTTTAACCTTTCAAATCTGTCATTTCATTGCAGAACTATACTACAGTCTACTACTGGAAGGTCAACAGTGTTAGAAGCACTGGACAAATACACATTGTACGACAACAAGAACATTTTGTATCTGAACATGCCAAACATGTTTTGGGATTTCATTACACCATTACTAAATTCTGGAGTCCTAAAGGTAATTTATACATTGGGGAATAAAGGAATAGGGTTTAAACATAAGGAAAGTTCAGTTAGTCATACTAAATCAATTGAAATTTGGAAATGTGGTGAAGATTCACTTGTTCCTATTAGAGTTATGTAATTGTCAGCCTTTAATAAAACTATAGAAATTTGACAAATATCATTCTGAACCATTGGACGGAGGTAAAATGATTTTGACATACATGTTTGTCACATTTGTAGTTCCTGAGGTAAGGCCTTTACTATGAAATAATAATATAAGGAGGATAGAGAAAAGAAAATTTCATCCATTAATTTTTGGTCAAATATATTTAAAGTTCATAGATATTGAAGTACTTTAACAAGTTTAAGGCAAAATGCAATAAAATAAATGTGAAATCATGTAACTTTTGGTGAAGTGAGGAATGTAGACAACATTCTGCATACAGAAAAAATCAAAAGCTCTTGTTGTCCTCTTATGATTTTGACACAAATTTACTGAAGTAATGCATATGTGATTGTGAAACAAAATAATGGAGGTTGATTTGTTCTGTTTAAGAAGTTAAGTCTCAAAAAGATTTATTCAGTTTAGTGTTTTAGAAATGCTTCCTTTTTTTCAGGGATTTCATCAATTAATCATAGACATCAATCTCCACAGAATATCAAAGAATCTGCCGGTTGGAACAATCAGAACTTACTACAGTGAACTTAAACGTATTGAATCTTATGGCTTTGATCTCTACCAATCTATTAAGCTTGGAAATGATGTTAAATTCAGACAAAACAAAGAATATCACAGACTTAATTTTGTTAAAACAAGACCGCCATATGGAAAGTCAATATAATTGTATAGATAGTCTCGTAGATCTTTATTTATTTTTAATATTTGAAATCATGATAATGCCAATGTGTATTTTTATTTCATTGTATCATGTCATATTTCATGAATCTATTTATATAGAATAAGAAAAAGAATATTAAAAGTTTACTAATATTGAGAAGATTGCCTATTTCTTTACAATAATACAGCTGTTCCCTACCACTTGGCTTAGGTGATCTGTTTACTTCCAATTTTTGTTTCATTGGAATTTAGTTGGCAGAAATGATGACATGAAGTACACCTGGAAGAATACATATATCACTATATGTTTGCATTACTGAACATTACAAATGTTTGTGTAAAATTTTGAAATCACAAGAGAAAATGTATGATGCCTCAAAGTAAAGTGATTTTTATACGACCGCAAAAATTGAAAATTTTTTGGTCGTATATTGGTATGACGTTGGCGTCGTCGTCGTCGTCGTCGTCGTCGTCGTCTGGCGTCGTCCGGCGTCGTCCGAAGACACATTGGTTTTCGCACTCTAACTTTAGTTTAAGTGAATGGATCTCCATGAAATTTTACCATAAGGTTCAATACCACGAAAGGAAGATTGAGATTGATTTTGGGGGTTATGGTACCAACAGTTAAGGAATTAGGGGCCAAAAAGGGGCCAAAAATAAGCATTTTTGTAACTTCCAGACAATAACTTGTGTGTAAGTGTATGGATCTCTCTGACATTGTACCACAAGGTTCCATATCACAAAGGGAAGGCTGTAATTGATTTTGGGGGTAATTGCCTCAAAATTTTAGGAATTAGGGGCCAAAAAAGGGGCAAAAAACAAGCATTTTTCTAGTTTCATGACAATAACTTGTGTGTAAGTGTTTGGATATTTCTGAAATTGTACTACAAGGTTCCATATCACAAAGGGAAAGCTGGAATTGAGTTTGGGGGTAATTGCCTGAAACGTTTAGGAATTGGGGGCCAAAAAGGGGCCAAAAATAAGCATTTTTCTAGTTTCCAGACAATAACTTGTGTTCAAGTGTATGGATCTCTCTGAAATTGTACTGCAAGGTACCATACCACAAAGGGAAGGCTGGGATTGAGTTTGGGGGTGATGAATCATAAGGGGGTTCAAAAAATTTGGGGGGGGGATTTTTTTTTTTCTTTTTTTTTCTTTTTTTCCTTTTTTTTTTCTTTTAAAATTTTCCATTTTAAGTTGGTTATTTCTGATTAATATTTAAAAGCAAATAATAATGATATGGTAGGAGATACACACCAAACAGGATGTGTAAATTATTATTTAATAAGTATTGTGCAATAGCAAGAAATTTTCAATTGCACAGTATTGCACAATTGCAAGAAATCTTCAATTGCACAGTATTGCGCAATAGCAAGAAATCTTCAATTGCACAGTATTGCGCAATAGCAAGAAATATCCAATAGCACAATATTGCGCAAAAGCAAGAAATTGTCAATTGTACAGTATTGCACAATAGCAAGAAATATTCAATTGCACAGTATTGTGCAAAAGAAGATACTTCCTATAAATTGCTTATTTCTTGATCAATTTCAATGGGGTTTTATTCTTGAATTCTTGGGGTTCTTTAATATACTGAATCTAACCGTGTATTAAGTTTTTGGATTTTGGGCCCCGTTTTTAAATTGGTCCACATTGAGGTCCAAAGGGTCCAAAATTTAACTTTGTTTGATTTCATCAAAAATTGAATTATTGGGGTTCTTTGATATGCCGAATCTTACCGTGTATTTAGATTCTTAATTTTTGGTTCCGTTTTCAAATTGGTCTACATTAAGGTCAAAAGGGTCCAAAATTAAACTTAGTTTGATTTTAACAAAAATTGAATTTTTAGGGTTCTTTGATATGCTGGATCTAAACATGTATTTAGATTTTTGATTATGGGCCCAGTTTTCAAGTTGGTCCAAATCGGGGTCCAAAATTAAACTTTGTTTGATTTCAACAAAAATTGAATATATGGGGTTCTTTGATATGCTGAATCGAACCATGTATTTAGATTTTTGATTTTTGGGCCCCGTTATCAACTTTGTCCACATTGAGGTCAAAAGGGTCCAAAATTAAACTTTGTTTGATTTCATCAAAAATTGAATATATGGGGTTCTTTGATATGCTGAATCTAAACATGTATTTAGATTTTAGATTTTTGGCCCAGTTTTCAAGTTGGTCCAAATTGGGGTCCAAAATTAAACTTTGTTTGATTTCAACAAAAATTGAATATATGGGGTTCTTTGATATGCTGAATCTAACCATGTATTTAGATTTTTGAGTTTTGGGCCCCGTTATCAACTTTGTCCACATTGAGGTTTAAAGGGTCCAAAATTAAACTTTGTTTGATTTCATCAAAAATTGAATTCTTGGGGTTCTTTGATATGCTGAATCTAACCATGTATTTAGATTTTTTATTTGTGGACCCGCTATCAAATTGGTTCATATTGAGGTCAAAAGGGTCCAAAATTAAACTTTGTTTGATTTCATCAAAAATTGAATTATTGGGGTTCTTTGATATGCCAAATCTAACCGTGTATTTAGATTTTTAATTTTGGGTCCCATTTTTTAAATTGGTCTACATTAAGGTCCAAAGGGTCCAAAATTAAACTTAGTTTGATTTTAACAAAAATTGAATTCTTAGGGTTCTTTGATATGCTGAATCTAAACATGTGTTTAGAATTTTGATTATGGGCCCAGTTTTCAAGTTGGTCCAAGTTGGGGTCCAAAATTAAACTTTGTTTGATTTCAACAAAAATTGAATATATGGGGTTCTTTGATATGCTGAATCTAAACATGTATTTAGATTTTAGATTTTTGGCCCAGTTTTCAAGTTGGTCCAAATTGGGGTCCAAAATTAAACTTTGTTTGATTTCAACAAAAATTGAATATATGGGGTTCTTTGATATGCTGAATCTTACCATGTATTTAGATTTTTTATTTGTGGGCCCGCTATCAAATTGGTTCATATTGTGGTCAAAAGGGTCCAAAATTAAACTTTGTTTGATTTCATCAAAAATTTAATTATTGGGGTTCTTTGATATGCCAAATCTAACCGTGTATTTAGATTTTTAATTTTGGGTCCTGTTTTTTAAATTGGTCTACATTAAGGTCCAAAGGGTCCAAAATTAAACTTAGTTTGATTTTAACAAAAATTGAATTTTTGGGGTTCTTTGATATGCTGAATCTAAACATGTGTTTAGATTTTTGATTATGGGACCAGTTTTCAAGTTGGTCCAAGTTGGGGTCCAAAATTAAACTTTGTTTGATTTCAACAAAAATTGAATATATAGGGTTCTTTGATATGCTGAATCTAAACATGTATTTAGATTTTTGGCCCAGTTTTCAAGTTGGTCCAAATTAGGGTCCAAAATTAAACTTTGTTTGATTTCAACAAAAATTGAATATAAGGGGTTCTTTGATATGCTGAATCTTACCATGTATTTAGATTTTTTATTTTGTAGGCCCGCTATCAAATTGGTTCATATTGTGGTCAAAAGGGTCCAAAATTAAACTTTGTTTGATTTCATCAAAAATTGAATTATTGGGGTTCTTTGATATGCCAAATCTAACCGTGTTTTTAGATTTTTAATTTTGGGTCCCATTTTTTAAATTGGTCTACATTAAGGTCCAAAGGGTCCAAAATTAAACTTAGTTTGATTTTAACAAAAATTGAATTCTTGAGGTACTTTGATATGCTGAATCTAAACATGTGTTTAGATTTTTGATTATGGGACCAGTTTTCAAGTTTGTCCAAGTTGGGGTCCAAAATTAAACTTTGTTTGATTTCAACAAAAATTGAATATATGGGGTTCTTTGATATGCTGAATCTAACTATGTATTTTGATTTTGGACATTGGACCATAATAGGTAAATTAAAAAAATTGAAGTTCTTAGACCACATTCTTTCTGTGTCAGAAACCTATGCTGTGTCAAATATTTAATCACAATCCAAATTCAGAACTGTATCAAGCTTGAATGTTGTGTCCATACTTGCCCCAACTGTTCAGGGTTCGACCTCTGCGGTCGTATCAAGCTGCGCCCAGCGAAGCATTTTATTGTATGATATCATTAGTTGAAGTGTCTCAAATTATCAGGTCTTAGTGTCATGGATTCCAAAAAAAGTGAATCTGTCTATTATATCCTTCAGCATTCATTCCAATAGGCTTTGGTGAAAGTTTCATTTTAATAAATTTGTTACAAGCCACTAGTGTGGATATACATTGGAATCTATGCAGAAATTCATCTTCTGATGAACTAATCAATTGAAACCAAAGGAAAAACAAAATTTCCATTTGAAATACTGTCCATGCACTGTGTGTCCATGTGGTAGTACAGGTACTTTTGTGTTTATTGGCCAACCAATTTTCCTGAGAGTAGAGACTCAGTTTGAAAAAAATAAACGAAGAAAAATATTCTTTGGAACTACAACAATTGAAAATTGATATGCCAGGAAAACCCCTTTTGAGGCAGTGGGTGTTAATAAATGTATCTATCAATGCTTGCCTGCATCAACTTTTTGCAATGTTCTTAAGACCTCTACTAATTTGCCTTTATCAAAAATGCCCAGCTACATGAAAGATTAATGTATGATTATCTCCCTTACATGATTGACTAGGATTGTCAGTTTTCCTACTGAAGGTTGGTCGTTCTCTCCGGGCACTTTGGATTCCTCCACCAATAAAAACTGACTGCCACGAAATAGTACAATAATGCTGAAAGTGGCATTAAACACCAATCAATCAATTAATCTTAAAGTTTTGATAATATTTTATAGAAAAAACAGAGAGAAGATACCTAGGGTCATTCACAAATCATACGTCCAATGAAAACAGACAAAACCATGGTCAAAAACAAAAACGATATAAGGACAAACAACAATATAAACTTAAACATTGCACAGAAAGCTAAAAACAGAGCAGCACTAACACCACCAAGGGGTGAACTCAGGTACTCCTGAAGGGTAAGCAGTTCCTGCTCCACATGTGTTACTCAATGTGTTGCTATAGACTTCAAATTGAATATTTTTTCAATACGAAAATCGAAATTCAAGTTTTTTATAACTAGACAATTAAATTTTCTGTCCCATTTTTGTTTCCACACTCTAACTTTAGTTTTCCTCATCCAAATTTTACGAAACTAATACACAATGCTAAAAGCCTAAACTCCCAGATAAAGTTTGAACTTGGGCAGTGAGTCACTTACTGTTCTAGAGTTATGCCCTTTATAACTTGGAAATTTGCCATTTTTTGTCGAGCCTGCGACTTTTGTCGCAGAAAGCTCTTTATAGGGATAGTGATCCGGCTATTCTAAGTTTGTTTCTTAGATACTATAAGCAATATGTCTACTATATTTTGTGTATGAAATAATTGTAAGGTTTACATGTATTTCCGGTTTGGTTTATCTGACCATGACCTCATTAACTTGGATCATGTTAAGTTTATGTGATACTTGTAGTAAAGCTTTATATTTAGGACTATCAACATAAAATCAATAATCAGTAAAGCAGGCAAGACATTTTAGCCTGTGCTCTCTTGTCTTATTTCCACACCCTTTTTTTAACTTTTCAAATTTTATGAAACTTATACATAATGCTAAAAACCACAACATGCAGACAGAGTTCAAATTTTGGCAGTAAGTCTTTGAGTCATTAATCGTTCTAGAGTTATACCCCTTTTAAACTTGAAAATTGCAAAGCATGAGCGGGTGTATTCTTGTCCTAAGACACATTCTTCTTTTATTTTCAATTTAGTTTCTTCTCTCTCTCAAAAACTCTGGATTGGGAAACAGTACTGAATGAAGATTGCATCCAAGGTGAGATTTTCCTCGGGGTACTTTAAAACAAAAAGACTCATTTCGAAATAATTATTTATTTTCTTTAACTTGTCTTGCAATCAGACATCAAAATTCCCAGATATTATGTCAGTCCAACAGTCTCTAAGAATAGCTGGTTTGAAAAGCCATTATTTGACCCACATTACAATTATTGGAAGTTTTGTGATAAAATCTGTAAGACATTTGATAAGACGCCTTAAACAGTATGGAAAACCAAAATTTGCCTGACACTTCATACAATCAACAGATTTTGAGACCTTTGTTTAAGAGATATACAAATGTATATAGTTTAAGAAAAAAAAACAAAATACATTAACATGCTTTTAAAACTATGATAATTTGAATACAAAATGACATCATAGTCATTTTTTATCAACAGTTCATTTTAATATTTCTCAAATAATCTTTTTTTTGCCAGTACAACAAAAGGTCAATACTAAGTTTTTGAAACCATACTTCAATATTCATTTGTAACACCATCAGTAAGAAAGTATACGGAAGTCTCTTCTCACAAGTCAATCAGAACTTTAGACCACAATTGAATTAAAAAGATTTAAAAAATAATCCATCTTAAATGAAAGAACCTTTGTGAGCACGCTCATATACTCCAAGCCCCCACATTGTCATTTGGCAAACAAAATCTCACAAGATTCCTAAGTTCAAAGGCACTTAACTCCTGTCGATATGCACATCTTCATATTATGTCCTTATTATCTACAAAGTTCCATGAAATTTTGTTGCATGGTATAGAGGAGTTGGGATGACAAGAACAGGACTTACAAACTGCTGGACATCTATAGGCCGTAAGGTGACCTAAAGTTGTTAACTTCTATGTCATTTGGTTTCTGGGGGAGAATTGTCTCATTGGCAATCATACCAAATCTTGTTATTTTTATATGTACAATCATTATATGCATCAAATATAGTTGACCTTAGTGTTTATAGTATCTAAGAAAAAAAACTTAACCAGGAAAACTTCAGATTGGCCAATCAACCATGAAAATGAGGTCAAGGTCAGATGAACCTTGACAAACAGACATGTACACCTTACAATCATTCCATACACCAAACATAGTTGACCTTTTACTTATACTATCTTAGAAGAGGACATAACTACCATGAAAATAGTTTCAAGGACAGATGATTACTGCCAGACAGACATGTTCATTTTACAATTATTTCATTCACCAAATATAGTTGACCTATTGCTAACAGTATTAGAAAAACAGACCAAACCACAAAACATAACATTTACCAATGCACAGTGAAATGCGGTCTAGGTCAAATGAAACCTGCCAGACTGACATACACCTTACAATTATTCCATACATATATAGTTAACCTACTGATTAAAATATCTGAGAAATGCACCCAATGATGTAAACCTTGCATGTAATCCATATACCAAATATAGTTATCCTGTTAATCATAATAAGTGAGAAATTCACATGACAAAAAAAACTAAACTTTTTTTGTAAGCAGTCGCTGAACAATGTAAATGAGGTCAAGTATAATGGACAGATAACACACAGAAATTTTGTAACATAAGGCATCTGTATAAAAGATATGAAGCCTCTAGGTCTTCTACTCTCTAAAATATAAAGCTTATTACAAAAAGTTTATGCCGCTGTTCTTCATTACAATCCCTATGTCTCCCATTATGCAACTTTAGTCACAGGCCAGACAAAAATTCAAACAGACTAATTAAATAAAAATTATTTATTTATCTATCCACATTAAAAAATTCCAATAGCTTTATTGACTGCTTTTTGTTGTTCTATTTCTGACATTTTCTCATAATGGGAGAACTCCATTGTAAAGTTTGCCATTCCATGGGTATTGCTTCTTAAAACAGTAGAAAAACCCAATGTTTCTGACAGAGGTGTGATAGCATGTACCAATTTGATATCTTCTTCACTATCAACATTCTCCATATGGCTTCTTCTTTTTCCTAAATCAGCCATCACTGCATGTAAATTGTCCTCATCTACAGTTACCTGAAAAGAGAAAGGTCAAGAAGTTATTTTCCGAAATGTCTTAAAATATATTCATACGGTACTATAATTGCCATTATTGTTACTAATAGATATTTGAATAGTAAAATGTTTTGTATTTGCTATGCTATAAGCCTACAGGATCAAACATGCAGATGAAATTCATTGGTTTACTTTGATATAAAATAGCATTTTTTGCACTTTTAAAACATGCCATATTTCTGATTACAGTAACAATATAATTTATTGCAATAGTATAAAATTCATATAAATTATTGCATAATTGAGGGTCTGGGAAGAATATACAAAATAGTGGGCTGAAAAATAAAGAATAGAGAATAATGTGGTGCTTAAATATAAAGACTAAAAAGTCATGGGCAATATAAAATATCTGGTTCCTATCTAGAGACTTAGAATTTGTTCCCTAGTCAAAGATGGCTAGACATTCTTCTCATTTTAATTTTAATTTGCTTAGTAAGCTGATTTTACTCATTTTTTTTAAAATCCAAAAGACAAAATGGTAACAATTTCATACCTCCATTTTCATCATAGGTTCTAATAAAACAGCTTTGGCTTCCTTCAGTGCCTTGTGTACACACTGTGAAGCACAAGCTGTGATCATGGCTTCAGTGGTAGACCTTCCTATCTCAGCTTTATATAATTCCACTTCAACATCTATCACAGGAAAGTTTAAAATAGGACCTGAAATAAAATGTAAAAGAATTATTGACACTGATTTCCTCATCCTGCATGTTGACGAAAAAATAAAATAAAAACAAAGATAGTATTTTTTCATTGATTTGGTAAAAATAAAGTTTGAATACATAAATTGAAAAATCAAAGAACCAAAACTTTTTCCATAAATCACATTTCTTATGATAACAAATTACAAGTACCAAAATTACAAACATTTGACGTGCCATATCACATATCAAAAAGTTTTTCTCATTAATTCTAATGATGCTCATTTCTAAATGTTTAAAATTCCATATATCAATCAGTGAAAAGCAATACACACACAAAAAAACACCCAAAAGAAGCCAAGGAACTCTTTTCATGGATAGAATACCTTAGAATTAAACAAATACAAAAAATTACTTTTAGTATAAAAATATGAATAAAGCATATTTGGTATTGAATGTGACAGACATCCAACAACACAAAGTTGAACAAAAAAATAAGTTGAGTGTACAATGAGGGTTAAAAGCTTACAAAATATGTATACAGACGGCTCTAAAAGAGATTAAAGTTTAGAAGCAGTGAAGTAAAATATACAACTGACAATCTAATATTTTTCATTTTTCAGAAAACTGCATTCAAATTGTAAAAAAAAAAAACATAACTTTAAAATTTATTTTAGCATGTTTATCATAATCAATCTGCTATACCAGAACTGAATGCAGATTTGATTCCTATTTCAATTGCCTTCAATTGGTTTCTATGTAATTTTTCTAGAGAATTTTCACGAGACTGAACAAGCTTAACATGTTTGAATTCTTTCTCCTGTAGACTAAAATGAATTGACATTCCAAGGACCACATGCTGTTGAACATTATTGATCATTGTATCCATTGTTTCTTCCCAAGATGATTCTCCTTCACAAGTTTCTCTGTAAGCTACTTGTAAAGGACCCATATAAACATCCAACTTGTACTCTGTTAAAAGTCTCTGTCTTATAATGTCTAGGTGTAGTTCCCCCATGCCTCCTAATATAGTCTGGCCTGTTTCTTCGTCTACTTGTACCTGAAAAATACATTTTTGGTTAACTGAATGGTTTTAAAAAGGATATAACAAAATATTGAATATGAAGATTTTTGGTTACCAATTGGCAATTTATTGGTTGCAAATTAATGCAATGTTTTGGTGATGCATGTGTCTGTGGAGTAAGTGAAAGGAAAATTTCTGTGGCTTTTAGTGGCAATGTAAATAAACTGTTGACACAGATCGATGAGGTATGATCGTCAATGAGACAATTATTTCGTAAACACCAAAGGACAAGGATATGAACAATGTTTCATCAAGAGCCAGATTCTCAACAGATGCTCCAGCTTATAATGCAAAAGATTCAATATCATTTCTGAAACCAGAAGACAACTATTATATTACAATGCAAACTCTGTCTTCTCCATTTACGAAGTTAGTCGGATAAATTAAGGAATTATCCATTGCAACTGTTGATCAAATTACAAAAAATGCAAGATTAATTGATATAATTTCAGCAAATATGGCATACAAATATTGTGATCATAGTTTTTAACTAATACTTATCCCGTCACAGTATCCCCAATAATAAAAACAAAAAAAGCTACAAAGATACTTTACCGTGAGACTAGGATCCTCCCTCTTAAGACATTCCAATGCTAAATCTAACTTTCTCTGTACCGAAGGAGATTCAGATTCTACAGAACACAGAAAAACCGGAGGATGTATATTTATACCACCAAGGACTGGAAATTCATCAGGGTCATGTTCTGTCAATCCTTGTTGTTTACGGAGATGATGTAGGTTCTTAGCTGCCATCTCTGCAGTTGCTTTGCTTGCTGTAAGAGTGTCACCAGTCTGGGTCTAAAAAAATACCTTTGTTATAAAAACATGACAAAACCTTGCAATGACTTTTAATTTATTCATTTTTGAACATTAGGGTATACGGGAAGAATGCAATTTTGTACAACGTCTGGCCTTCCCCAAATATGTGGCAGATAAGTCAATATTTATGTGAATAAAAAGTCATAGGGTAACTAGACTATTTAACATTTTTCACTTCTTCTACAAATTCTAAATATTCTTACTGGATAAAGGTAGTTAATTAGTGGATTTTTTTTATAGGATTTGGTACCTATATTTACATATCTATTTTTAGAACTAGATAATACCGGTATACCTTTTTGAGTCCTGCTATACAAATGATATTTCCTGCACTGGCAGTGTTGACATCATGATATTCATTAGAGTATACTTGAATCAGTCTTGATGGTTTCTCTTTACAATTCTTATTCACATTATAGATCTCCCCCAAGTTCATCACACCGGAATATAATCTTAGAAATGTTAGTGGTCCTCTGTGTTTATCATGTATAATTTTAAAAGCATATGCACATAAGTCTGTCTCATAGAACTGAACCAAATCCATTGTTTTTTCTAAAGGACTGGGCAAATAATGGTTAACAGCATCTATCAATGGCTGAACTCCCGCATTCTTTAGTGATGAGCCACACAGTACTGGAACAATATGTCTGCCGATGGTAGCATTTCTCAAAGCTACATCGATGTCCTCGGCAGTAATGGCACTGTCAGTTATGACACGATCTGCTATGTTCTCACAGTAATCTGATAGATTTCCAATTAAACTGTTTCTACACTTTGTTGCTACTTCCCAAAGTTCAGGATCAGTTTTAGAATCCAAATCTTTTATGCTGAATATTTGACCTTCAGAACTTTTTTCAAAGTCATATGTTATTTTTTGCATATTTACAATATCAATAATGTCTTTAACTCTGTTACCATCAAGTATAGGAAAGTTGACAAGTAAAGGTTTAATTTTCAATTTATCTTGAATTGATTTTAAACATTTCTCAACATCAGCTCTTGGTTTGTCCATTTTATTCAAGAACACAATACTAGGGACTTTGTACCTGTTAGCTTGACTCCATACTGTTAAAGTTTGAGCTTCAACTCCTGTAAATAAAACAAGAAAGAATTAACTTTATTTGATATTATTTTGTCCTTCATACTTTTCAATTATAGGATCTAAATCTCATATGACATTTTATCCCCATATATATGGTAAAATTGAGAATGGAAATGGGGAATGTGTCAAAGAGACAACAACCCAACCAAAGAGCAGAAAACAGCTGTAGTGCATTTGAATGTTTTTAAATGAATGCTTTCTGGTTTAAATCAAGAAAAGACTTTGAATGCCCTGTGACCTTGACTTTTAACATTTGTGCAGTAGGGAAGTACAATTGAAAGTTACTAGGTTCTAGCACAAACCAAGGAAAATAGGGAATTCTTTCAAAACTTTCAGAAAATGAATTATTAGATGTGATGTCATATAATTTTTGAAGTCAAAACTGACACATAATAGATTTCAATATGGACTCAAGTATCTTGGACCTTTGGAAATAACACAATTAAGGGCCTTTAACTCACAATCCCAATAAGTTGCTTAGCAGAGGAAACTGATCAAGTATATTAAGTATATAATAAGATTTTTGGGGTTTTTATTTGTACTCCATATGTACTTTCATAATATTTATCTTACCAGCAGAAGCATCAATTATTGTTACAGCTCCATCCAACACTCTCAGGCTTCTTTCCACTTCTACAGTAAAATCTACATGCCCTGAAATTATACACATCTGGGTTTTTTTCAGTTTGTCTAAAGTTTCCTTTTAATTGTCCATGTGTATGACTGAAAGGAGAAATAATGAAAAGGTCACTGTTTAATGGACCAAAAAATCATTTGAGTAGTGTTTCAGAACTATTGACAATTCTTCTATTTAACAGGTAAAATAATCAAGCAAAATAAGATACTATTACCATCTACTATTCTTGAAATTTGGGTAGACTTGATAAACACACTTTTGAAATTGCAAGAGAACTACTTAGATGGGGGCTGAGGGAAACTAAAATAAATAATATCCATCTTTTCTTAATTTAATTAAAACACTGATCGATATGAACACCTCTTTAAATAAGAACATTTCAATAGATTTTTATCTCTTGATAATTAATTGAGTCATATAAATCTTTTTTTTTCTTCAATGTTATAAATTGATATCCATTAATGCTGACCACTATACAAGTTTTACAATCATGTTGAATGTTTGTCTGTAATATCCAGGTTATCAGAGGTAAGAATATCTATTAACATCAGCATCTGCTTAGATCTAATGTAACAAAGAGGAATCTGAACTTATGCTTTGATATAATCCAACCTAGCAAATTGCCTTTTTTGTCTTTTTTTTAACATATTAGTAGATAATGTTGAAACATAGTGGAACATTATATTGGATGTGGCCCCTGAACATAAACAGGTGAGCTATGGCTGCATTACCAAGCAGTAGTGGACACAATTTTTGGCTCAATTGTGAACACAACAGGACTCATGTAACATTACAAGGACAACAAAGATATCAAAAAAATGTGTTTGATTCTTCATATGCTGCCACCTCTTTGGTGGATTTCCATCAATTACTGTACATCAAATACTTAAAAAAAAAAGTTTAAAAGTTTTCCTCAAATTAAATGCAATCGGTACATGTCACAAAATACATTCTTGGTTGGAATCATACTATGACATGTATGAGATCTTTTGAATATGCATTTAAATATAACCAGACCTGGTGTATCTATGAGGTTTATTTTGTGCTTTTTCCAATGAAGTGTAATTGCTGCTGATGATATTGTCATTCCACGATTTCTTTCCTGCTCCATGTAGTCCATCACAGTATCTCCATCATCAACATTACCTACAAAAAGTAGATCAATATTATTTCATAATAAACTTTCCTTTATGATTTTTTAAACTGACCACTTTTGTACAGAACTAGCCCTTAAATTCTTTTGTCATATCTTAGCTGAAAATGCCAATACTTTAAATATATAGTACTATATTTTGCATGCAATATTCAAACACATACCTGTCCTAAACTCTTACTTGAAGCTATGCTTATAAACTTTTATTTGACATTTATCATCTCACCATGCATTTTATGTTTTAAAATGTGTTGTTTTCTTGACTTGTATACATGTATACATGTGTTTGATCTATTGTTGATTTGATGAGCTCAATAAGCTTGTGTTTTGGAGACTTTGTTGAACTGAGATATTCTTTTAATTTTATTCACTACTTTTCTAGACTCAGGGTGACATATTGTATAGACAATTAACTATCTTCTTTATAACAGAAATTGTTGTCAGAGAAAATCTGTGTAATCTGTGTCGATCTGTCTGTCCTTTCCTAGCACGCTTGTTGCATTTTTCTCCACAACTACAAATCAGAGCTTTTTGGTAATTGGAACAAACTTATTACTGGTAAACTATACAGTGTACCATATTTTTAGATCTGTCACTTATTTAATACTTCCAGATTGGCAAATACAAATGTAGATATCTATACCATGACAATGCTGGTAACAAGTGCTACCGCGGAGAGATCATTCAGTGTACTACGTCGGTTGAAAACATATATGATCAACCATGAATAACGATTGGTTATCATCGCTAGCATTAATGCATATTCATCGGGATTTCAGTGTGAATATTGACAAAGTAATGGAGAAGTTCGTTTCTGCTTAGACCCGAAGAGCAGATTTTGGACAATTTTGAGTAAATTCTGTCTCACAAAAATGTGTTGCTTATGTATTCAATTTACCACGATTTACCCTATTCAAAAGAATTCAGAATAGTTTTGCATTCATGAATTGTCTACAAGTCCTATGTAGCACCTCTTTTTACCCTCCTATGACCGAAAACCGAAAAAAAAATATCATTTTTTGCATAAAATGGTCCAAAAGATTTTCGCCTCGCTCCGCTCAGCGGTACATCAGCGTGCACATCATTTTAGTCTAGCTACGCCCCTGGTTTCTATAGATCATTATCGATATATTAGTATTATTGATATGTACACAAGATATGTCAGATAGTAGATACGGACTGCATTATTCTCATAATTCATCTTTATGAAAAGTATCTGAAAATTTTCAACGTGTTGTGTGCTTTATAATAGTAGAGAAGCTGATTCCAATTTTCAAGTCTTTAGTTTGAATAAAGGTATGCCAACTTGCCTCACTAATGAAAAAAAAGAATTAAACAGTTCTGCATTAAGGACTACCAACTCACACCACATATGAAAAGGAGTTTAATCCCAACGAATGAAGGTCTGCCAACTTGACCCACTGATGAAAAAAAAAATTAAATCTTACTGCATTCAGGACTACCACTTTCATAAGTGGGGCGAGGAGGCAGGACAAAATTCAACAGGATTTTACCCTTTTTCATAGGTGGGGCGAGTTGTCATGGATTCCTAATTACAGTTAGCACTTTAATACCTTATATAAGTGCTACTACACTGTAGAGGGTACTCCAGTATCAGAGAGACTTTTGAATTCAAAATGTCCAAAATTACAGAAAAAATTATAACCCCTTTGTGTGATAAATATAAAATAAAGCTTATACTTAATAATAAATCTTACAAGGCACTAAAACTATCTTCCTCTTTCGTAACAAATTGTTTAAATGATCTTAAATGCGAGAAGTAATCTATTGCAATAGATTTTCATTATACATGTATTTTATATTCACATAATTGTTTGTATTTTACTACCATGTTTATCCATTCGATCATTACCATTTATTGTAAATGCGTTTGTGCCAATAAAATATTGTCTATTGTCTATTGTGACTGGTCACTTTATCAACTTTCTGTTTCTCTCATACTTGTAGGTTCCTAACATTGATGTGTAGCAGGAAAAATTCTGCTGGAGATTCGAGGATGCGGACGACAGCTTATTCTAGTTTGTGAACTGATTTATACGGAGACGATAGATGCCAAATGCAAAAGCGCTATATAATATCTATGTAAATGAAAACCAAAAACAGTGAAAACAATATATAATTTAATCAACAATTACAACTTTTATTATGTAAATCCAAAGTAGAAATGGAGCAGTCAATGACTTCACTATTATACCCGTATTAAGAAGGCATATGGCAGATGCACTAACCTTGTAAAGGGTGGTTGGAAAGCACGGCTTTCCTAGGTTGGACTGAACGTCAGTCCTCAAGCAATTCAACATAACAATTTCAAATCAATTATCTAAAATATATACGTTTTCCGAAGAAGGTAATTAAAGGTTCTGCGACGATGCAAATATTAAACTTTAGAATATGAATAAATATCTTTAACCAATGATTTCAAAATATCAATATCTATTCAATTTAACAAATATGTACTGAATAAGCTTCATGTAAATTATTAAATAAAGAAATATGAAATTTATAGTTTTAAACAAGGGAAATAACAATGACATAATAATCCTAACTGCCACATTCCTCCCCCCTAAGACAAACGATAAATTTCATAAATAAAGTCTGCAAACTGAAATGTCTATCAAATTGATGTATCTGCCACACTAAACACGCAAAATGCAAATGTCATGTAAAATAAATATGAATAATTTGTAATGATTAAACATTAAATCTAATATATATCAGTTAAAGTTAAATAATGAGACTGTTCAAGGAGACCACAACACCAGTCTGATACCCTCCTCCTCCCTTCAAAAACCAATGTAAATGAAATAACATTTGAAAATTTAAATTTAACAAAAGTCTATCAATGTTCACCAGATTAAATGTCTTTCAAACACATGTAATAATATCACTTAGAAATAAATGTCACTGTATAACACATACACAAACACACATCAGAATCAGAATCAGGTTCATCTGTTAACGGACGCGACTTTAAGTCTTCTTGGTAAGTAGGCTTCATATTCAGTGGTACGGCATATATTGTAATGGCACATCTAATGTTGAAATCCATGAAAAGTTATACCAGGCAATGTCTACCAATTTTGATCTCACAGTGGCACATTTGACGTGTACCACCGGGTTCTATTACTGCACTCCAACGTTGTTGATAACGGTAACACAGACGTTGTGCCACCGATTGAAAGCACCATTCAGCTGAACAAAATATACTGTTTCTGATCTGCACAGCAGACCTAGACTTGCAATTTAAGTTGTACCAGGTAATCTCCACCACTGTTGATCTCACAGTGGCACATTTGATGTGTACCACCGGGTCCTATTACTGCATTCCAGCGTTGTTGATAACGGTAGCACAAATGGTGTACCACCGGGTCCTATTACTGCATTCCAGCGTTGTTGATAACGGTAGCACAAATGGTGTACCACCGGAGATGGATCGGGTCCATCTATATGCAAGGTTCTCAAAATAAAGTTGGACGATGCCCAACTGTTATAGCAAGGTTCTCAAAATAAAATGTATGATGCCCAAATTTTGTGCAAGTTACTAAATAATGGATCGGGTCCATCTGTATGAGCTAGAAGTGTTTCTAACTTGAAGCTTAACTTTCACTCTATTGGTTTCTGCCATAACTAATAAAAGTCAAGAGGTCGGACTTCTATAAACTCTCTAAATACTAAATATTTAGCTAGAGATTACAATCCAGACAAATGAGCAACAACTCATAAACAAACCAATTCCTACTAAAACTAGCTAACAGTCTACACTTCAAACTACACAGAAGATCAGCCTTTATTCAAGTAATAATAAAAATGAAAAATATAACAAGATGAGATGCACGGCATCCCTCCCTTGGAAAAAGAAAAACCAAACAGCCAAAATTGAGGCGTATGACACCTCTGAGTATACATTGAAATAAATCTAAAGTAAAACTGTATATATACAACACAATGTAAAAACAAAAATTAAACAAAGGTAACACAATCTGAACTACAAAAATTGTGATTTAAATCGTTCTTTAATATCCCTTCTATTTTTGAGAATTTCACTTGACTATCTGCAGACCTTTCATCTCTAGCATGGACTCTAAGAGACACATTTGGACACTTAGACCTGACATGACCTAACTGATGACATTTAAAACATTTCTTATGTTTACGTTTCCTATGTGATCTCAGTCGCCTCCTCAAGATATTCATTAAAATTTCAAAATTCTTATGAACAGTATCACAACAAACTGAACTTTCTGACTCATCAATAGTTTCTGGATCACCAGTAAAATGAACAGCTTCATATTCAATAGCTAGTGATAAAGCCTCGTTTAAACTATGAGGGTGCTTAAAAGTGACAAATTTAGTCATCTCAATATTCAAACATGATGTAAATAAGTCAGTAAAATACACATCTAAATCTGAAAAATTATCAGGATAAGCCTTATGAGCTAGTATCTTGAAACGCTGACCAAAGTCAGAAATTGTCTCATTTTCCTTCAAACTACACAGTCGCAGTTGAAATTTAAAATATGCCTCCCTCTCCTTAGGATTGAACCTCTGAATAAGTAAATTTTTCAAGCAGTCATAATCATACAACTGTGGCCTTTTTACGAAACGTAAAATAGTTTGAGCATCACCTCTCAAATTCATTATTAACTGACATTCCATCTCAAATTCATTCCACTGATTCCAAAGAGAAACTGTCTCAAAATGAACAAAATAATCTGTAACATCAATGCGGACACCATCAAACAAACAAGGTTTTTCTTCAAACCTAATCATAACTCAATATGCATTTACAAAATGAATCAAACGATGAAAATAAAATACCCAAGGAACAACTATCCGCCCAATTCTTCAAAACTGGTCTGCTTAGGACTATCATATCCAACTACAAGTACTGACTCAAATGTTTGCTCCATTTCTTATAAATAATTTAGTTCAGTTACAAACCAGAAAAGTTGCTTTATAACTCCGCATCCGCCTCGCGGGACCTACATGTAGCAGGAACAATTCTGCTGGAGATTCGAGGATGCGGACCACAGCTTATTCTAGTTTGTGAACTGATTTATACGGAGACGATGGATGCCAAATGTAAAAGCGCTATATAATATCTATGTAAATGAAAACCAAAAACAGTGAAAACAATATATAATTTAATCAACAATTACAACTTTTATTATGTAAATCCAAAGTAGAAATGGAGCAGTCAATGACTTCAATATTATACCCATATTAAGAAGGCATATGGCAGATGCACTAACCATGTAAAGGGTGGTTGGAAAGCACGGCTTTCCTAGGTTGGACTGAACGTCAGTCCTCAAGCAATTCAACATAACAATTTCAAATCAATTATCTAAAATATATACGTTTTCCGAAGAAGGTAATTAAAGGTTCTGCGACGATGCAAATATTAAACTTTAGAATATGAATAAATATCTTTAACCAATGATTTCAAAATATCAATATCTATTCAATTTAACAAATATGTACTGAATAAGCTTCATGTAAATTATTAAATAAAGAAATATGAAATTTATAGTTTTAAACAAGGGAAATAACAATGACATAATAATCCTAACTGCCACAGATGCATGTATCATGTGTATAACAAAATGTTGTATCATTTTCATACATTCCTAATACATTTGTGTACATGTACTTAGTACCAATTTTAGTATGGTAAGCTTAAATGTGTGCTAATCTACTTTGTTAGAACCATCATGATCAAATTCAAGCAGACATAACTCACTAAGTTTTATGAGAAACATAGTTTACATTATTTTTCATTTAAATAGTAGTCTAGTTTGTGGCAGTGGAATAATATGTTAGATAATTTCTCTCATTACTAAAAGTATTTGGAACTGTGGAATGCTCAAAGGACTTGAAATGTAAACAGCAAAAGTAACAAATTCATATGAATAAATAGTGCAGGGTACGTAAGCGAAATAGAAACATAAAGAACATCTTGTGGGCAAATTGTGTAAGTATATAAAGTGTGGATAATTGTTACCAATATGCCTTGTGAATCCAGAGTAAAATAACATTCTCTCCGATGTTGTTGTTTTTCCGGCATTGATGTGGGCCATGATGCCAATATTTCTGATATTTTGCATTGGTTCATCCTTTAGACCTGGTTTTGGTGCGGACGACTTTAAACGTTTAAAATGTTTACAGAAGCATGTTAATTTGTGCAAACAGTATCGCCTGTACATCATTTGAGATTTTTGATGAATCTTGTGGAGGTTATGGAACATCTAAAAGTTACACCAGCATACGGACGTAGACTGGATGAATCCGGATAATAAAATTCACAATCTTTTCTGAGGTTTTTTTGCTAGCTATTAACATGATCCATATCAAAAATATAGTCTGCCCCTCTATGTATCCTTATTTATGTTTGTTATAAAAGCTATACTACCTATTATTAGTAAAGGTTAATTCATATAAAAATTCTGTATGTATATCCGATATGTTTATATAGTTGATTTGAGTAGCATAAGAAAGTAAGCTGTTTATAATGGCCCAACTTGATAAGTAATCTAGTTAAAAAAATCTTTTAAAACTATTTAGTTCTGTTTACCCTCCGACCCTGACCAAATATGAAAACTGTAAACTGATGAATAAACATGTAATTTTGTTCTTTTTGAATTTGCTTCACTCGCCGTGTTTGAACTTTCTTTTAAGCCGGTATACTTTTATGTCCTTCAGTTTTAGTCAATGACATAGCTCTTCAACTGCTTCGGTTCTTATACATCCTTGGCTTTCAAATATTCGGTTTTGAGCGTTCGAATTCCTAACTGAAGGTAAATCTAGAAAAGCGCTTCGAACTTGACGCATAAAATTTATAAAATGTTCAGTGTTTTCATTTTTTTACAACACCGAGTCGATATCGCTGCTGGTAGACTATCAGTCCCCGAGGTATCAATAGCTCAGTAGTCAGTACTTTGGTGCTGACATGATTAATGAGGGGGTGGACAGCTTTTAAGGGAGGTGGGAGGTGGGGGGGGGGGGGGGGGGGGGGGAGAGAAAAAAATAGGTGGGAGAGAAAAAAGATTCTAAAAGTGGGAGGTGGGAGATAGGGGCGGGAGGTGGGAGAAGGGTATCCCCCTGTGCACCCCCTCATTAATAACAAACCTTTCTTAAATTGTGACTTTGCCCGTTTAAAAATTTATTAATTATTTTAAAAAAATCTAAGGTTGCAACTCTCTCAGGCAAAGTTGACCTTAGATGAATTTGGCTATTATTTCTAGGTCGTTTTTTGTTATATAGCTCTTCAAATGTTTCGGTTCTTATGCATCTTTGGCTTTCAAATATTCGGTTTTGAGCGGTCCTGCTGAAGTTAAATCCAGAAAAGCGCTTCGAACGCATGCAATTTATAAAGTGTTGCTTTCATTTTTACAGCACTGGATCGATACCACTGCTCAGTTCCTAAGGTATCATCAACTCAGCAGTCAGTACTTTGGTACTGACATGATTTATGACAAACTTTTCTTAAATTGTGATACGAAACTAAGGTTTCAACTCCCTCAGGCAAAGACTTTTCACAAGAGTTCAGCAGGTCACATGTTTTCATCCTTTTGATTGTGACATGCTTTAGACGTCCTGTGTCATATACAAAAAAAATCTTACTGATTCAGGAGGTTTCATTATGATAGAACTTCACTTGACTGATACTCTTAAAAAATAATATTATTGCTTATTCATTAATATTCGCGTGCTACCAATTTCCGTGGAGTTCATGTGTGAGTGGAAAACACGAGCTCAAATACTTAGCGGTTAAAACGTTTAAGTACATTTGATAGGAATTAATGATGAAAGCACGAAAAAATGTATTCCTCGAAATATCAATTGTATCTCAACCGTGAAGTGTATACGAACAAAGATGATATATAAATCTATAGTAATTGCATGATTTCCCTTGTTGTTTCAATTCAATCTTAACTTTTACTAGGATTGTCAGTTTTCCTACTGAAGGTCGGTGGTTCTCTCTCTTGGCACTCCGGCTTCCTAAAAAAACTGACCGACACGAAATAGCACAATAGTGCTCGGAAAGTGGCATTAAAAACCAATCAATCAATCAATCAATCGTAGTTGTTTCAACAGAGACATATAATATATATATATTGTATTATATGTCTCTGGTTTCAGGAAGAATATCTTTCAGTGCAAAATTCGATAAAATTTAGTAAAATCTGGCTACACTCCACAATACATGACGATAGAACCGTCGAGTGTAACTTGACAGACAACCTATGTAATAATAAGGCAGAATTCAACAATGTACACAAAAGTTCAGTGTAGCCAGAGATATATATGTGTACATATTTCTCTGGTGTAGCGTATGAAAAAAAATTAATTCAAATTGTTTCAGATAAACACGAAAAAGATGGACAACGAATTTCGGCCGACAATAGCTTCTATTCCGCAAATGTGAACAACGTGGGCTTGGAAACAATGATAGTTAGAGAGCATTAACTACGAGCTGAATTTTTTTCATGTTTTTGCAGTTTCTAATAATTATCAATAACCAAATATTGAATACTAATTCGTTATTAGCTGTCAGTTTGGTTCAATAACATGAACGGTACCAATTTTTCTGCACCAGATGCGCATTTCGACAATAAATGTTTCTTAGGTGATGCTCGAGGCCAAAATATTTGAAAATCCAAAACTTGCTTAAAAATATTTGCCAAAGTAAGCTCCAAAACTTCACCGATACATTGTTTACTCGCAAAGCAATAATTCAACTCCATCAAATCCATCTGCATGCGACCTGTTATTCACCTCAGTTGAAGATAATTACGCATATGCTCATCATGTTCGGTTATTGAAAAAAATATTGCCAGCTGAAGTGACACTATGAATTCAATGGGAAGACCGATAACACTGACTATATTGTTTTTATTATAAAATTCTGACATACATCATTCTAACACCGAACATTAGTCGATCTCTATTCGTCTAGTCGCAACTCTAGTAGAATCTAAGTATTGGCAAATGAAATGTCTCTGGTCTAGAAGACAGTAGAGTAAAACCGAAAAGTTTAAAAGTAACACTGTGAGTGTAAAAGATGTAAAAAAAGAACAAAATTGCATGTTTAAAGTTCACGTACAGTTTTCATATTTTGTCAGGAGAGTAAATAGAACTTGATGTATTGAAAATACTTTTTGAACTAGATAACGAAATTACGTACCAAGTTGGGTCATATATAGATAACTTACTTGCTTATGCTAATAAAAATTTTACAACTCTAACATATTTGTGATACCGCATACTGAATCAACCTTTACTAATAATAGGGTGTATAACTTTTACAACTTAGAGGCAGTGTCGTAGTCTTAGTGTCCTTTGTAATAGATGTATTATGTTTATGGTTGACTAAACCAACTTTAAAACCGCCATATTTATTATTTTAAGTGAATCTAGAAGCACGCTAGAAAAATATCTAATATACAGATTATAATGGCTAGGAAAGACAACCGTCGGAATATATGTATGGTTTTGTGTTTTGTGACAGTAGTCATTATTGCATTACTTGCTGTAGTTATATACCTTGCCACCAGGGGTTCTATCTGTCCAGGTAAGTAAAGCTTGTGTTATTATTTACAAATCTTTTTATAGATAAATATTCTTACATAACAAGGTCATTACTATTCTATAGTAAGACAAGACAGACGTTATACATTCCGTTTGAATTCACTTTTAATTCCGAGAAAAACAGTATATATAAACCTTAAGATAGATTCATTTGATATCTAGTTGTTTAGATCAATCACTCGTTTGTATCCAAATTTAAAGTAATTATAGTAACTCCACAGATTCGTGAAAGGTCACTGCTTAAATGCAACTGAAAATGCTCAATTTTCCACTCAAAAACAAACACTTTTTGTGTAGTATGATGCTAATAGTACGAGGTCATCATAGTTGTTATTCAGTAGTATGATATGATACTTCAAACATAGAGTAAATACAAATAGTGGTTTTCAATGGTTTTGTGTATGTGTATACTAGTGAGTAACACCTTGTCGTGATTGTCTTTACAGAAAGTGAAATGTCTTCGATTTCGAAAGAAGAATATGGAGAGTATAAAGGAGAAAAGGTTTTTCAGTAAGTTACTTTATTTTATAAAATTTAGGTCAACTGCTATGGCGTAGCTTGACTCTTAAATTTGTCGTGAGACAAATAATTTGCAGCTGCTAGTCTCGTGTCAGTCAAAGGGAAGAGGCGGTATATTTCTTTCATGATGTTTATACAAGATAACATGCAACTTTTAAGATTTTAAGGTGGCAAAGTGATGACAGGGTAATATAAATACGATCACTTTTGGTCTTCTTCCGACCGGCTATAAACCCCTTGCCAAAGTTGAGCGTCCGTTTGGTTTTTAGGATGATGTATAAATACGCAGTCACGTCCGGTCAGAATGGGAACTTGTAATCCAATGCCAAAAATGAGAGTGCCACGCTCTCTGCACGTTAAGAACTCTTGAAACTTATTCTTTGAAGGGTCCGTAGGTGGCCTGTTGCCAGGTTAAATTTCTGTTCTTTTCCAGTTCACCCTCAGTTTCCAATGTAGTCCTATCATCTCTTCTTGCACATGCATGAAATATTTGCCACTGGACGTAAAGCAAACATCGATAAATCTACGAATCTACGATCGAACGGGAAAAATTTCCTTGTTGATTGATTGATTGTTGTTTGCCTAAGACGTCTAGTGGCAAACATTTCATCCATATTCAGAAAGAGAACAAAGTAGCAATAAGTCCAATAAGAAGATTCTGTAATGCGAGTCAACGGGTATGAAGCCGGGGAGAAAATTGCGACTGTCGCTGGACAATAAGGGTATGTTGGATAGGGACAGAAAAGTGCATAGCAAAAGGCTGCCTGCAGACCCCTCAAAGAGTGTTGTAATGGGTTTTAATCATGTATACAGCAAGTCTCCATACTGATCGGATGTGACTGCGTATATTTATACATCCCGGCTCAGCCAAATTAACCCTACGGAATGTATATTTTGATATTTTGAAATTAGAAGTTTGAATTATTAAAAGGTCCTTATTCCTTTATATGTTCATGATGAGATTATCTATTGCATATATGATTTTATTATAATGTTTTCAACCAAAGGATGTATATCGATTAGGGATCACTAAAATGTGAACTAATAACAATGCATTTTTATGAAATAACTGTATCAAATATTGCAAACAGTAAGTTCAGAGTACACATCAAATCATGAAATATGTCTTCTTACACTATAATATCGGTC